TCTCTCTCTCTCTCTCACTCTCTCTCTCTCTCTCTCCAGCCTCAGCTTGTGAGTTTGCAGAAATAGTTGAGTTACTCCTGAAGGCCGGAGCTGACCCATCAATCAAAGATCAAGAAGGCTCCCTTCCAGAGGAGGTGACAGAGTCTAGCGCTATCTCCTCTCTCCTCCGCCAGTACACTGCTCCTAAAGGCTAAATCTCACTCTGTGAAATCTCACTCCACCAAATCAAACCAAACCCACATGATCAAGTTAAAAGTTCATGCAAGCTGTGCTCCTCATCCAAATGCTACATGCCTGCTCTCAAACTGACACTAGTTCCAGAACTGAACTCAATCAGTTCAGCATTCTAGAACTATTATCATTGATTCCATTTGGCTCTGAAGCACAGATGTTATACTTTCAAACAGTTAAGTTCAGACAACCTGTCCTCCCCTGTCCTAGAATTGTACATTCCAATGAATGTGTTACTGTTGTTACTATTAAAGACATGGAAACTTACAATGGTGTCTCATTTTTTACTTGTTTGCTTCTTGTTTTAAATTTACCAAAAATGGTAGATGTAAAGCAATGTGCCGATTATTATATAAATGATGTAAGTGATTCCAAAACTGGGGGAAAACCTTAAGAAACTGAGGTTGGTTAAGCATACAACTTTTCTTCCTGATTTAATAGATATTAATATTAATATTGATTGTCAGTTTAGACATTAAAGGGGTCATATGATGTTGCTTAAAAGAACATTATTTGGTGTAATGAAATGTTTGTGGTTTAAGGTTCAAAAAACACATTATTTTCCACATACTGTACATTATTGTTTCTCCTCTATGCCCAGCCTTTCTGAAACGCGTCGATTTTTACAAAGCTCACTGGTCTGAAAAGCGAGGTGTGCTCTGATTGGCCAGCTATCCAGTGCATTGTGATTGGCCGAATACCTCAAGCGTGGGGCGGAAATGTTACGCCCCTTATCATATTGTGATGCCGTGTCTCGGCCGGAGCGAAGAGACAAAAACATTAAAACCCATTACAAATGAGGCATTTGTTGCCTCCAGTGGGGACATAATAACGTGTTATAATGACTTATACTGTCTTTTTACGCGTTGCATCGTGCTGTGTAAACATAAAACCATGTCTGCATTTGTGATCGGAGAAATGACAAACAACAAGCGCTACTCTACACTGCTCAAAACTCACATTTGAATCATCAGTGGCAAATCCTTTAAATATAAAAACGTACTTACAGTCTGTGAGTCAGAACAGCCGGTATTGTAGTCTACTCTACCAGGATCAGGAAACAGTCCTCCATAAAATGTGCTGCACACATCTGAATATTTGGGTTGAACTGTTCTGGAACAGTGTTGTAAATACAACTTAACCACTGATTTCTAGTTGTGTCCTCTTTTGGAAGACCAAACAAAGTAGTTTCACTTTCACAACGAAACACAGCGTCACACACGGTGGGCTAGAGTGAGCGGAGGCCGGCGGCTTGAGTGAGCGGAGGCTTGCGACAACCACATGTGACGACCCCTGTGGGGGCGTGTTCGAACGAGCCGTTTTAGTTAGGCGTGGTTGACTCTTAACTTTTATAAAGAATATCTCTTTGGATTTGAGATTTTAGTCTTTGCAACTTTACAGATCTTCTTTATGCACCAAGAGCTTGTAACACTCCAAAGAGAAAGGAAAAATTGAAATTGCATCATATGACCCCTTTAAAAATGCAATAGCTACAGTACATAAAAATTTAATTTAAATTTAAAAAATTTACTCACCCTCAGGCCATCCAAGACATAGATGAGTTTGTTTGTTCATTGGAACAGATTTGGAGAAATTTTGCATTGCATCACTTGCTCACCAAAGGATCCTCTGCAGTTAATGGATGCCATCAGAATGAGAGTCCAAACAGCTGATAAAAACATCAGAATAATCCACATGACTCCAGTCCATCAATTAACATATTGTGAAGCGAAAAGCTGCCTTTTTTGGAGAAATCCATAATTAATATTAAACTAATATTTCTGGCTAAAATCCAAAAAGAGACAGCTGTTTGGACTCTCATTCTGACGGCGCCCATCCACTGCAGAGATTTCACTGGTAAGTGGTAAATTTCTCCAAATCTGTTCCAATGAAGAACAAACTCATCTACATCTTGGATAGCCTGAGGATGAGTACATTTTTAGCACATTTTCATTTTTGGGTTAATTATTCCTTTAATAGTAAATGTAGTACAATTCTATAGTACATTCGTTTTTCTACTCATTCGTCTCTGGAGGGTAAATAGCATGAAATACCACTGATTAGTGTCTTCATTCTGTTATTGAATATTTGGTTGATGAAGCTTTATTTGAATTTAAAGCAACAAATACACTGGGTGACAAAGTTACTTTTTCCAATCCGTCAACACATAGGAATCCTCAAACTTAATTTTACCCAAAGCTCTACAGCTGATACACATTTATTCAAAAGCAATGGGATCACTATGTCTCAGAGTATGATGTATTGAATAAAAACAGGGCTCAAGTGGAGGAATGAGAAACATTAGCCGGGTTTGGGTCTGTAGAGCTGCATCCCTCCTCGAGAGCAATATCCTCTGTCTGTTGCTTTAGATATTCCATAGGCGGGCAGGAATTATGGTATCGGTTTGTTTGTAAAGGCTGTTTGTCCCTTATTCCGGTAATTTCCATAAATCCACTGGAGTTGGGGGAGGGTCAATGCCGCTGACGGCATCCTCCGTGGGCTTGTCTGCACGACAGTGACACTAAGCCCATTACGTTTCCATTATGTGCCTCAATTTCCCCCTGAGCTCTTCACTTTGACATGGACTCCTCTAAAATCATGTCCCATATTGCTCAGCTTTCTTTACTTAACGTTTATGCATTTTTACAAGTCACCTCTCTGGATGCTTCCCTAACACCATTAGTCACAGATGGTGGAGGTTTGTTACTCTCACTCTTTCTTTCTTTCACTGTCTGTCCCTTTCACTTTCTCTCTTTATGTCTGTCTCTTTCTCTATTCAGCCGGTTGTCCAGCTTATAAATGGAATGGCATGTACTGGGCTACTCTTAATGCAATGTGTTACTCCACCCTCACTTAGAATTTGCCAGCCAACAAAAAATGCTGAAAAAAATCCCACAAATATCTAAAAAAAAAACAAAAAAGGCTGTAGTAGGCTGACATATTTTTGTAGTCCAACCCAAAAGTGTAATGGTAACGCTTTACAATAAGGTTCATTAGTTAACTACATTAGTTAACATGAACTAATAATGAACTGTACTTATACAGCGTTTATTAATCTTTGTTAATGTTAATTTCAACATTTACTAATACATTATTAAAATCTTGTTAACATTAGTTAATGCACTGTGAACTAACATGAACATCTGTATTTTTATTAACTAACATTAGCGTAGATTAGTAAATACAGTAACAAATGTATTGTTCATGGTTAGTTCATGTTAGTTAATATATTAACTAATGTTTAACTAATGAACCTTATTGTAAAGTGTTACCAGTGTAATTACGTTTAATGTCACCGACAACCTCTATAGCCTAGTCCCATTTAGCCAATTGTTAACAATGGTTTTACTGATGTATTAACCAGAAACCCATTCAAAAAACCCACTGACTTCGAGGCGATGGAACTGGAAGAGCTAAAATGCAAACTCACAGGCTCACTATGCACTTATACACTATGTACATATGCACTATGTAGGCTACTTAACCGTGTAGTGTATGAAATAAGTAAGCGTATTGAGACGCACCTAGGCGATGCCGAATATTATAACATTTCAAACCGCTGGCTGGTGCATTGACCAATCAGAATCAAGTATTCCAGAGAGCCGAGTACTAAACATGAGTTCCAGTCAATTAAAGGCCGAGGTCATTCTGGTGCATTGAGTAGGCTATCAATTTGAGCACAGCTTCTTTATTACATCAAATGCAAATGAGAATACTGCCCACTAAGTTACACCTCTACAGTTATACTAACACGTGGCCGTTTGTCCTTGCAAAATGACCCTTTCTTTATTTGTATGGCTGTTGAATTAAAATGCCAAACAAGATGCCAGTGAACGGCATCATACTCAAGAGAAAAATGCAGCCCAGATTAAATTTAGGCTGAATAACTATTTGCATGTTAATTTATTCCTTCTCACCCGGGAGGCTGGTGAATCGTTGGCTTCAGGAAGTTCGTAATAAAAGCTCGCAGATCGATGATAATGGCATTTGCGCTTGTGTTTGTCATCTTTGCAAAAGCAACAGTGCAGGAATTTGCTCAGATTTATATGTATACTAGTGCTGTAAGTGGCGTGTAAATTATCCCAGCTGTCTTTGTCACTGTTTATCTTTGTAAGACTGAACTATTAAAGGCCGTACATTAATGGCCACGGCAGCCCCAATCAATGGCTGAGTGAAATCAGCTTGTTTGTGGCGCGTTTCTCTGCTATTATTGTTTTTCGTTTTTTTCATAAATATTGCTTTCATACCATTAAATCGATACATCTCCCATGTTTTCCAGTTAAGCACAGGCTAACATAACCTAACCAAATTAATACTATAATTTTATTGTTTTAGATAACACATTTTGCCATCTTTATGCGCTTTAACTAATGGGATAGTTCAGGCAGTGGTTTTGAAAAGCATAGCTACAAAACGTCAAACGTTTAATTGCACCTAGTGGTGTCTAGGCTATATACGTGATCAGTGTTGGGGAAAGTTACTTTTAAAAGTAATGCATTACAGTATTGCGTTACTCCATAAAAAAGTAACTAATTACGTTACTTAGTTACTTTTTATGGAAAATAATGCGTTACGTTACTTTTGCGTTACTTTTTAAATCTGGACAGGGCTTGCTTGTTTGTTTTTAAAATAAAAAAGTTCTGTTTTTGGCAAACATAAAAGCCTTTTCACACCAAAAGTGAAATGAATAAGCCTCAGGCTGAAGGGAAAGTACATTTACGTCCGTACAGTAGAACGCAGAAGAAGAAATTTCAACACTTCAGCAATAAAAAAAGACACACGAATGTTTGTCTAGAGTAATTTGTGCTTATTAGTACGCTTGAACTGGATCATCGAAGGTCAGAAGCAAAGACATTGGTTAATAGAATGGGATTAAATTCATAAAGGATATTTGTGTTGTTTAATATTTAATTATTGCATATTCATTATTTGTATTCATTTTGAGGAATACGGAATCAATTAATGCATTAATGCATATTTATATTTATTTTAGAACTACAGTAACATCTGATTTCTCTCAACATGGGGACAGGAGAGTTGTCAATCAATAAATTGAAAAAAAAATAACTTTGAATAAGTAACTCAGATATTCTCTTGTAAATTAAAAAGTAATGCGTTACTTCACTAGTTACTTGAAAAAAGTAATCTGATTACGTAACTCGCGTTACTTGTAATGAGTTACCCCCAACACTGTACGTGATATATATCCATACATAAATGTCGTTTTTGGTACATGGAATGCGCATTCCCATACAAATCGAATCCTCACATCCAAATGCACGTGACCAAATTGTACTGCATCTTTTGCCTGTTGTATTTTACTCACAGTTGTGTTTCTGGCCGTTGAGAACGTCAGGCAGCCTGTTTGTCCTCATTTCACAGAGCAGTTTACAATTAGGTAACATTTAGAGGATTAGGGAAGGTTTGACTAAACAGCAATCTGCTCCAGTCTATGGAAGCAGAAGGATGAGCGTGTGGAACCGGCGAACAGATGTGCGTCTGATGAAAGTTCCACATGTTTGTGTGTGTGTGTGTGGCGGCCGGGCTTTGCAGAAATGTTATTCCTTTGTTCCCGTAAAACCAAAATATATATACACATAGATGTTTTTGTAGTTAATAACCACGAATTGATTTGTTGATGTGCACAATACCACCAATTTACAAAACAATAAAAGACCTGTTGCTTGGAATATGCAAAGTGTTCAATATTAAAACACTCCTGTGCGATTTATATTGCGTATACAATGAAGTAATTCAGGCAGCTAGAGCCCCTCATAAACACTGAAAAACCTTGCTTGGTCAATTCCTTTATATTTTGCGACCAATTGCCAGATTTAATTGAGATGACATCATTAAACATGGTGACATCAGTAGTTGAGTTTAACGACTTCAAACCAGGTTGCTCAACACAAAGCCAGTGTTGTGACATTATGCATTTTTTATATATATATATTAGGGCGTTTTTTATTTATTTGTAATGTATTTGATTTTTTTGAATGGAAATCAAATAATTTGCTACAAAAACAACTATTCTGTGTTATACTAAGCTGTTTAACTTTACATTCAAGATCAATAAAAGCATGTGAAGTAAATAAAAAAAGAACATCGAAGTAACCCAAAGACGATTCGGCTTTATTTCTCCATATAGATTTAACTGTACACAATTCATACCATTGGACAGAAGGCATATAGGACTAAATTCAGTGCTCTTTTTTTTTTCAAAGATCCATAGCAATAAATAGTGCTCATGAAACAAGACTGTCGACACTTTTTGAGACTTTACAAAATGTACAGCCATTAAGACTCAACATAGATTCAACAAAACATTATTTCTGAATGGTTATTTTTCTTTTTTCTATGTTGCTCTTTGTTAGCTTCCAGCAGTTCACTCTTTTATCTTTACTCAGTTTGCCATTATGTGGGTCCAAATTTTGCAACCAACAAATTTTCCTCATGTTTACAATTGTATCACCAGTTTTGTAGTTTTACATCAACTCACTGCACTCTCTCCCATGATCCAACTCTTCATAATACTGACATTGGTACCCATAACAGAAATAAATAACACTAAATCCTCATAGTTGTTGCTTAAGTGTGTCAAATAAAAAAAAAAACAGTGTAAATTTCCCTTTCACATGTTTTGCTTGATAATAATTGGTTAGGCCATTAAGGTACTTGTGTCTGTGTAATAGAAGTCCACTTGTCATCTGCTCTGATATCCATTTTTGCTCATGGAGCAATGAGTAGGAGACAAATGGCAATTGAAAAACAAAGGTATTTTGATGGTAATATAAACCTTATCAATAACAAATATGCTGGACCGTACCGGAAATAAATATTAACTTTAATTTTAATCTTTTAAACTATTTATTTTGTTTCATTTTGAGCCAAAATGTCTGAAGTTAACAGAAAAACATTGAATGGACAGGGACCATTGACACAGAGATTTTTATGACAACTCAGAGCAGTGCATGCGGATTCATCCTTATTAAAAATAATTTTTATCTATTCTTCAGACCTAATGTGAAGGGCCATCTCTAGTAGAGCCGTTTAGAAAGTTTCAACCATTAAAATCCCAAACCCTTGTAAGTAAGAAAGATACACTTGTGCCACTTGTTTAAATATCTCTCCTTGTTCGGTGCGCTCCTCTCTTTCCCGTATTCAGCCTGCCGTGTGCAGTCGAGGAGGAACATACAGTAAAGTGCGTCGCCGACGGTTCTCTTCCTCATTCGGAAACATGCATGGACCCTCTTGTTCTCAAAAACGTGGTGGATCGTGATTGTTTTTCCAGGGTGGTCTGGGGTTTGAATGCCATTCGCAGCTGCACGCCATTTCATGCTGGAAATCGTCCAATCCAGTTTTGAGAATAAATGAAAAAATATGAGTTACAAAATTATGATACAGCGCAGACATTCCACGGCGTGTTGCTCGTATCAGCGCACCATTCAGCAAGGTCAAGCCACCGTGTTAAAGTAGGTGCCATTTTGGGCCTCGCCGCACAAACGTCAACAGTTCTGGGAAAGATGTCTATAAAATCTTCAAATTTCTTGTCCATAGTACCGCACTTTCCATTATGACCTTTGACCTCAGAACTGGGAGTGGTCCATTTCATCGAGCCACGAGGCAGGGCTGGTGGGGAAGTCTGGGTAGCCCGTGCTGCTTCCTGTCGACAGGTCAGAGGTGGGTCCGCCGGCCATTGCTCTCAGAGCTTGACCTACATTGGGCTGACCGCCCTGACCCATGATGCCGTCCATGTTGAAGCCTAAGTTGTTGAGCAGTGGGGTGTGGCCTGGGAGGGAAGTGATGGATGAGGGGGACTGTGGCAGGCCGTAGGGACTTCCTGCTCGCAGGTCATGGTATGGCTGCCCACCCCCCTCCAGGGTGAAGCTCCCGTTAAGCATGTTGCCGTTCGTGACGTCTCCGACGCTTCCGTACAAGCCGTTAGCATGACCAAGGTCTGACAGGATCTGGTCTTCTGTTGGAGAGAGCAGACAAAATCAGTTTCAAGATTGTTTCCAAAAAAATACAACTACACTGAAAAAAATGGTTGTAGATACAATTTTCACTCATAAAACGCTAGTAATTCACAAATATTTAGAAATAAATGGAAAGTAAATTTTTCTTGTAAAACTTTGAAAAAATTATTTTTTACTGTGTACATTTCAACAGTTTGGGGTCAGTTAGTTTTCATTAAAAAAAATATTTTATTTAGCAAAGATGCATTAAATACATCAAAAGTGACAGTAAAGACATTTATAATGTTATAAAACTTTCTATTCATCAAAGAATCCTGAAAATAGTTTCCACAAAAATATTAAGCAGCACAGTATATTAGAATGATTTCTGAAGGATCATGTGACACTGAAGACTGCAGTAATTGCTGCGGATAATTCAGCTTTGCCATCACAGGAATAAATTACATTTTAAAATATATTAAAATATAAAACAGTTATTTCGAACTGTAATAATATTTCACAATATGAACATTTTTACTGAGCAAATTTGACCAAAAACATTAAAAAAAACTTACTGACACCAAACTTTTGAATGGTGGTGTATAAATGCTCTTACACATAGAAGAAGAATTGCAGTTATGACAAAGACCTCATAAATATCCTTTTTAAAAAAGAGGGTTACATGCTTCTGGAAATATCTGAGGCGCATTTGTGATTTACTCTCCGTACGCACAGGAGGAGTTCTTTCAACAACAACAAAGGCCCTGTGTGCTTCCTCTCTAATCGACTAAAAGCTTCACCAATTTTATAGAGTTTGTGCATCGCTGCTTTCAATTCTCGTAAACACGGCTCTAGACTTTTATGAGTTCTCAAAACGGGTTGACAAAAATGAAATAATCATAAAAAAACACAAAGCAGAACCAGAAACCTCATTTGAATATTCCAAACAATCCACCAAGTGGCATATTTTCAAAAGGCAAAGGAAATGAATGAATGAAGGGAAATAAAAGAAGAGAGAGAAAGACAAAGCAAGGCATCGTGGGAGATGTAAACAGACTCACCTCTGAAACTAAGTTCGCTATCGCTGAGTCCTGCATCATCGGCTGAGCTCTCCTTCTCCGTCTTACTGGACCCTCGACTGCGTTTGACGCTTTTGTAGAACTGACCCCAGCGGTGCCGACCAGCGTCCTTCTTCAGCCGTTTCTCTTTTGCTCGCCTGTTTTGAAACCACACCTGTGGACAGACGAGCCTCAGTAAAGACACCCATTTAATCATATAAAACACTTAAGCTTGAAGTCTGACTTGTAGTCTGACCTGCACTACTCTCATGTCCAGGCCCGTTTCTGAGGAGAGCTGCTCGCGCACATGTCGTGCAGGCTTAGGTGAGTTCTTGTAGGCGCTTTTGAGCGTCTCCAGCTGTTTGGCTGTGATGGTGGTTCGTGGACGTTTTGCTCCTGTCTCTGAATCATCTGTAACAGTCAAATTTGAAGAACTTATTACAATTTTCATTACTGCACTGCCATTGATTGGTCAAACTGCCCCACTTATTTGTGACCCTGCAGCACAAAACCAGTCATAAGTCGCTGGGGTATATTTGTAGCAATAGCCAACAATACATTGTATGGGTCAAAATTATTGATTTTTCTTTTATGCCCAAAATTATGAGGATATTAAGTAAAGATCATGTTCCATGAAGATATTTTGTAAATTTCCTACTGTAAATATATCAAAACCTAATTTGTGATTAGTAATATGCATTGCTAAGGACTTCATTTGGGCAACTTTAAAGGCGATTTTCTCAATATTTAAAAAAAAAAATTTTTTGCACCCTAAGATTCCAGATTTTCAAATAGTTGTATCTCTAACAAATATTGTCCTATCCTAACAAAAAACGAATTGCGATTAATTGCATCCAAAATAAAAGTTTTTGTGTACATAATATATGTGTGTACCGTGTATATTTATTATGTATATATAAAGACACACACATACAGTATATATTTAGAAAATATGTACATGTATTTACATTAATATATTTATATTCATATAATTTATATAATAATAAATTATTATTATACTATAATTTTCAAATATATATTATATAATATATAAATATATTTAAAATATAAAAATAACTTATTTTTCTTAAATATATACATGTATGTGAGTGTATTTATATATACATAATAAATATACACAGTACACACACATATATTATGTACACAAATACTTTTATTTTGGATGTGTTGCCCAGCACTAATATTATTACATAACTGTTTTTTATTTGAATACTGTACATTTTAAAATGCAAAGTTGAATTTTCAGCAGCCATTACTCCAGTCTTTAGTGTCACATGATCCTTAAGAAATTATTCCAATATGTTGATTTAGTGCTCAAAAATATTTCTTATTATTATAAATGTTGAAAACAGTTGTGCTGCGTAGTAATTTTTGTGGAAACCATGACACATTTTGTTTTTCAGGATTCAGAAAGTAAAAAAAAAAAAAAATCTATTTCAAATATAAAATCTTTTACAACATAAAATGTCTTTACTGATCCATTAAGCAATAAAACAGTAAAGTGTGTTCTAAGAAGTTCATAACATTTTAAATAACCAACTTCTAAATGAACTGAAATAACTGTCATAATGAAAAACACAAGCATAAAGGTGAAAGGTAGTATTAGCAGGACTAAACTGAACTCGAAAAAGTGAATAAAACCACTTAAATTCAACCAAACTGATTCGCTGTTGAAGTGAAGCAAATTTCTCAAGCATGAGGCAAAATGTCAGGAGCTCATCTATCGTGAGGTACGAGTAAAGAGTTTGTGGGATGCTTTGAGTGGAAGTGCTCACACATGGCCAGTCGATACTCTCCTGAAACTGTCACACTGTGGCGGAAGAGGGAATAAATCTCTCCTGAGAATGGCATGCCAGTGCGAGTTATTGGGGCCCTACCGTAAAAGTGCATTGCATCACTTAATATAATCAATCAACAGCCCACAGAAATCTCCATAAATACAGCGAGAGGGGCTTTCAGAGGCAGATCCATGAGAGGTCAGATCACAGAGGGACTTAATATGGCAGACACTGAGACCCCACTAGACTGTAGTTAATGATGAGTTTGTCTCCTTACTACCATCCTGTTGCCTCCTCTGATCTCTCAGTGTCTCGGTATAATTGTAAAAGAAGAAGTTAATTACACCATCTCCACTCCTGAACTTTGCTGTCAGAATGATTTCCAACTGGGACAGAAAATCCAGTGACGTGGGCAGAGTCTGGGACAGTGCTTCTATATACCACAGCCACTGTCTAAAAACATATCATGTGCCAGTTCAGCAAACAGCTACTATTCTAATGGGTCAGTAGCAACTGGCATAACTCATGTATATAAATAATAATAATATATGTTATAAAAATATATTTTAATTAAAATGTCAGTCATCTATCTATCTATCTATCTATCTATCTATCTATCTATCTATCTATCTATCTATCTATCTATCTATCCATCTATCTATCTGTATATATACATGTATAGATAGATAGAAAGATAAATATACTGTAGATATAGATAAATAGATGTGTATGTGTGTGTTGTAATCAATGTCCTATCAATGTCCTATCAATGTTCTAATTGATGAATTTGGTGACCAAAATATTCTTTTCATGCAAAATGACTTTAACTAATAAAACGTTCATTCTTAATGACATCATTCTCTAGGAACATCATTTCACCGTTTTGTCATTTTTTTGTGGTTTAAGTTGATTTGTCTCTCTTTAAAACATTCCATCATATGTGATAAAATTACAGAAATTGACATGATTTAAAAAATTGCTTACAAAATTTTAAAAGGCGAAATATATATATATATATATATATATATATAAATTACCTATTGAGGGTCGAAATCCTCATGTAGGTAAACTCTTAGTCACTTACTGAGCAATGGTTAAGATTAGCACTTTATTTCTGTCCCTAACTTGCCATTGTGTAAAAACAATCAAGTATATTTGCTGCATTACTTATTGAGCATATTTCTGTAATTCTGATATAGACTTCCGACTGCTTTTATAGAAATACTTCCTCAAATTAAAACACAAATGTGTTACAAAGCTCAATATATATTGCATAAGAGGAGTGGACCAATTGTTGGTTCCAGAAGGTATGATTTACACCGATCTGAAGACAACAGCTCACCATTTTGTTTGGCTGTTTCGTAGTCGTCCTTGCACACGAGCCTCCCGTCCTCCATGAGGTAGAACTCATCACCGGTGGCCAGCTGCCTGCTGCACATTACACAAGCGAAGCAGTGAAGGTGGTACACAAAGTCCTGAGCTTTCCGGACCACCTGCGTCGGGGGAATCCCCTGCTGGCACGATGCACATTTTGTCCCAAAACGCCTGCAGGTACAAATATAGACACTTCAGTTTGATACAGATTCAAATTCAGGTATTATGCCTTAATTACCAGCAAAAGCAGCCACAAAGACATGATTCCTATTTTCTGTTGAGCCAGGTTACAACCATTTGTTCAATGATTTTCACATAATGAAGACATTATTTTATGCCTAATCCATATTCCAAGGTTACAATTATGGCCAATAACACAAGAAAATGCTAACATGACGCAGATGTTTTCTACATCTATTGGTGCTTTACTGCGTTACAGACAAAATTACAGATGCTTATTTATAAACTTGTGTTTATGTAACACAGGTGTGCTTACGTTCATTGACATCAAATGGAGTATTTGAACATATTTTCCCACTCCTTTGCAGATTATAAGTTAAATTATACATTTTGAATACTTCTTTTTGCCATTAAAAATGAAACTTTTGACATTTGACTGCTTTTGTTATTTAGATAAGTGCATTAAAGCTGATATATACATATATAATATGAAAAATATGTTATTTTGTGAAAAAAAGATTTTCTAATCATGTATACAGTATATATATGCATGTATATAAATAATAATGCTAATTTGTACATATATATTTTGAGAATATTTTTAAATATTCAAATGATAATTCATTCAAAATATAAGTATTCAAATATATATAAATATAAATACTGTATATCAAATATAAATATATCAAATATATATAAATACATAATTGTTAATGCTACCTTTTGTTATTTTGATGAGTGCATTAAAGCTGATACATATATCATTTGAAAAAGTTTTCTTCTTTGTGAACAAAACTGTGTGTGATGGAATATAAATAATCATGTATAATAAATAATATTTTTAAAATTACAAATTGATATTTTTGAACCCAGTGTCACAAAATTAGTTAATATTACATTTTCTGCAAATCACCATTAATCTTTTTTCAAGTTGCAGGGCTGTTATTAAATGTTGAAATGAACATTAGTTAAGATTATGTAATGCTGTATAAGTATTATTCATTCTTAGTTCATGTTAACTAATGTTGTTAACCAATGTTAACAATTAAAACCTTATTGTAAAGTGTTACCCAATCTCGTTTTAGGGATTAAGCATCATTACATCTTGAATTTAACTGTGGCTATTTTCATAAGCAATCTATGTATAACTGCAAAGGCTGTAATAAGTTACAAAAGCTCAGAATACTATAGCAGGCATCTTTGTTTGTGCTTGTCATGTCCCTGGAGTTGACAAATGGTCTTGATCAATGTAGCAGAGGCAGAGAGATTCACAGGAGAGAGAGAGATAGAGAGAGGGACCACTAAACGCACATACAGAATGCCTCATAAAGCCAGAATAGGCTGTAAATCACAGTGTGAATACTACTAAATAAACCCTCCTTTTACTTAACCAAGGTGAAGTTTTTGCAACATTAGCAGGAAGGCCAGCCCCCGCCCCTCGCCTGTGAAGCGCTAGCATTTCCTCTTCCATCCCCCTCTCCATCCTCCTCAGCAGCACCACCACGGTCTTAACATTAAAATCCCTCCTTTTGTCCCCACGGGCTTGCTAATAAAGTTAGCCTCCACTCTGAGTCTTGCTAGCGTTTTAGGTCTCATTGAAGCCTGTGACATTAAAACCTCTCAAACATGATTTGGTAAAAGCCACTACTGATCCTGTTTTGGATAAAAGTCAAACTTAATTTCCTTCCTTAAAGCCAAGGGGAAAATCCAATCGCAAAAAAGAAGAAAAGAAGAAAGAAAGAAAGAAAGAAAGAAAGAAAGGGAAGACACAGGGAAGAAGAGTAAAAAAAAATGCAAAGTTGCTTTCTGGAGTTCTTATATAGCACTGGGAATTGAATTTGGGAACATGCGGTCTTTGCGGCCGAGTTGGAGCACACTGTGCTTCCTAACCTGACATGAGAAAAATCACTGCACTTTATTAACCATGACAGAGAATCTATGTGTCAGCCTTTCCTTGAACATACTCCCACACACACACACACATGCTAGTGCCAAACAGCAGTAAAAAGCACAAGGAATCAGATGTGAAATGCCTCTGTGTGAAGAGATTTGACAAAGCTGTTGTCTGAAACAGTCTGGTTCTCCAGTCCTTGATAATTCATGCAGCCAATACGGTGACCGAAACAATGTCCAGCATAGAACAGAAATGAAATAACATCTCTCATCATATTATATACAATGATGTACTGGCCTACATAAGATTTTGCATTAACCTATGTGATCCCTCTTTGTCATATTCTAAAAAGAATTCATATTCATAATCACATTTTGCTTTGCATTCATCAACAATAGTATGTGCTTAAATTATTTATGATAGCGGCCTTGATTTTATTGTTTAGTTTCATAAAATGTATTAAACAAGAATAAAACAGAGAAATTAGACTATATAGACAGACAGACAGACAGACATATAGATAGATAGATAGATAGATAGATAGATAGATAGATAGATAGATAGATAGATAGATAGATAGATAGAGAATAAAACATTGATATAAGATATAACCTAATGGTGGGGAAAGGTAAATGCTAACAGTGCAAGAGAACATGGACTCACTTGAAGAAATCTTCTTTACAGTAGACATTCCCCGCGCGAGAGAAACACTTGTCTGCCAGGAGCGCATGACAGTCGGCGCACTTGAGACATTTTGAGTGCCAATGTCGATCCAGCACCTTCAAAATAAACTTATCCAGGATGTTTTGACTGCAGCCTGCGCAGTGAGGGATTTCTGGAGAAACACACGCACACAAAGCGATTTGGGTGAAATGTGCTTACAGAAATGCTGAACTTGGTTTAAACAATATTTAGATAAAGTAACACTTTCTGACATTTCTAATAGGTTTAATAATTTTAAGTCAATAACAAATATGGCTGCATTATATAATGCTGGACAGCCTTTTATTTATTGCACATTCAAATAAACAGAAATATCGTGAATTTACGCTTCATACTTTATGTATATTCATTTAATTGAAAACGCTATTGATCTGTAATATTCTGGGGTAGGCCTATAGAAGCAGCAACGATCATACTATTTAAAGTTCTTAAATAAGTTACATGAAAAAAATTTAATCGCAAGGTGCTTGACTCGAAATAATTTGAGCATCACTCCGCTCGAGTGCATTATTTAGAAACGTACAACCTTCTGTTAAAATAAAATGAAATAAAACCCTAACAGTGATGGGGAAAATACTGAAGATACCTCTACTTTTTAAAAAATGTAATTCACATTTAATATTTGTAAAAAGTAAACGACATCACAAAAACTGACAAAGAATTATGACAACGGCCTTGAAAAAGACAAGAATTGTTATAATAAATAAGACTTGTATAAAATTGTTAAACAAATACTATTTAATATTAAATATATATAAATGCTAATTATTAGTGCTTAGTAAGTGATTAACGGATGTTAGAGATTATTGTGAAAGTAAATTTGGAGTAGGCTACCTTCCACAAGACAACCTATGGGACCTGTAAACGCTGGACAGGTGAGGAAAGATGTCCATTTGTTGGTAAATAATCAATATCCCAGAAGAAAACAGGCGAGGACATGAGGACATTGAGATTGAAATCATATAACTGGTCCATCGATTCTTTAACAGAAACAGTCTGTCACTTCAATTACTGTTGCTCAAGAACAAGTGCTCGAACAAAACAAACACACAAATCCGAAATCTAAAACCAAACAGAAATCAAATGCAATTGATCTTATTCCTTAAAATAGAGCAAACCAGTTTAAGCGTTCAGAGAATGAGAGCAATACGCGATATAATTTCTTCGAATCACAATATCATAACATTTAATATCGATATTTGACCTCTGATCCGCTATTCCTTCTGTCGGCAAGTTCTCACACGTGCTGTTTTAATGGCTTCCACAAAAGCCAGGATTCTAATATGCAAGAGGATGGTATTTTTATCAAAGAAATCATTTTGATTTCAGCAGGTGCTAAAATGCGTAATCACGTAAATAGCGTTTTATGCGTCATGTAAACGTACGGCAAATGTCTCAAAGTTCATCCAAACTGACCTCTACAGCAACCATAGCCAATAATATCACAGTGACAGAGAACAGTGTTCAATCTACACAACCACGAAACACCAGCAACACTAAAACAATGCGGTAAACCTAAACAACACTGTAACATAAAATACATCAAATAAATGTAAATCAGACACACACACACACACATTTTAAACGTAATGCAAATAATTTCTTCGAATCACAATATCATAACATTTAATATCGATATTTGACCTCTGATCCGCTATTCCTTCTGTCGGCAAGTTCTCACACGTGCTGTTTTAATGGCTTCCACAAAAGCCAGGATTCTAATATGACGCAAGAGGATGGTATTTTTATCAAAGAAATCATTTTGATTTCAGCAGGTGCTAAAATGCGTAATCACGTGAATAGCGTTTTATGCGGCATGTAAACGTACGGCAAATGTCTCAAAGTTCATCCAAACTGACCTCTACAGCAACCATAGCCAATAATATCACAGTGACAGAGAACAGTGTTCAATCTACACAACCACGAAACACCAGCAACACTAAAACAATGCGGTAAACCTAAACAACACTGTAACATAAAATACATCAAATAAATGTAAATCAGACACACACACACACACACACATTTTAAACGTAATGCAAACAAATGTGATTCTGTGAATGACCCTTACTCATAAAATAACAAGCGTTTTTGTTTGTTTGATTTTTTTTTACAATTTTACCTAACACAATATTTTACCCTAAAATTGTACGAGTTAAATATATTGTTAAATATATTTTTGCCTCAGTATATCCTATAGTATTTTAAAATATAAAATATTTTAAACGTAATGCAAACAAATGCGATTCTGTGAATGACCCTTACTCATAAAATAACAAGCGTTTTTGTTTGTTTGATTTTTTTTACAATTTTACCTAACACAATATTTTACCCTAAAATTGTACGAGTTAAATATATTGTTAAATATATTTTTGCCTCAGTATATCCTATAGTATTTTAAAATATAAAATAATGTAATTTTCCCGTTTCTGGTAAGTTAATTTACAGGTAATTAACTATTTTTACCGTAGCATTTTACATTCTTGTTCCGTTGACATGACTGTGCTGATAGTGCTGTGTGTGTGTGGTGCTGAAAGAACAGCGCCCAGCGCAGCTTCACTCACTCAACCGGCTTCAGCTTTTAACGCTCATATACTCTTAAGGATGTATTTGATTAGCCAGTCAATTAAAAGATGGCTACCACGACATGCCTTTAACTTCAACGTATGCATCTGAAATATACCAATTCACTTTTGTTTCGTCTGATACTGGTTTTAAATCTTTGTTTTATCATTCAACACATTCTCATTTACATCTCGTTGTCGTGCAGGCTTCTATTTTCGAATGTTTTCTTTAAAAAAAATAAAAAATTACCCATATGTTGTTTTAAGAGCACCAATAATATTTAGATCCATACCGCAAGAACAGATTATTCTTAAAATAATCCTCACTTAATCCATCATTTATACGCCAAGGGGGGGTTGAGTAGCAATATCTTTTAATCTATATCATTTAATGAAATTAAGCATTCGCCACTGACAGACCTGTATTGCCTACTTAACCTTTCGGCCATTCTTTAACAAGTGAATGAACAAATAAAGCGGTTCGTTTCCTTTCAAATTATTTTCCAGCATTTTCATCAGTCTTCAGTTAAATAGCCGTTGTTATTTTATTATGCACGGATCTAGTGACTAAAATTATGTTTTCTCTCTTTTTTTTGAAAGAGGTAGAAACCAAGTCTGGTTCAAACAAGACGAGGTCCATCTGTACATTTCTGAAGCACGGCTGTGAATAATTAGGTCAGGAATTTATCCAATTCCAACTCCATCTTGATGGTGAGATCAGATTATATAGGCCTAACGCAGATTAATTTGCGACTAATAAAAACCAGATGCGAAGATAATAGGCAATGCCTTTTTGAATATTAAATGTTCATGTACTGTATCTAGATGGTCTTATAATCTCTTTTTCATTGTGACAAATAACATGGGATACACTCTGCCCCATTTAACCACTGCATTACAGAAAATCGGATTAATATATTTTTTATATATATATTTGTTTAGTTTCTAGCACCTTTTAGACTGTTGTTCCCAACCACATCCAACACAACTTGTTAAAAAGATGCAATGTAACTGTTCTAGCCAGCTGTGCGATCTAACAATAGTCCGACTAATCAGAAATCAGTCTGGCTGTATATAAATTTACATTGTGAGATTATAAATCTACACTTACACCACACACATTTTTTCGATGCTATTGCATGAATTCTGTTGCAGAGAGACCATATTCAAAAAGAACATTCATCAGTGCTCATCACGAAATAATATTTGGGATCTAATGCTCGAGATTAGATCAGAATTTCTGATTAACGATATATAAAGTTTAAGCTATTTAGATTAAAATAATAATAAAGCTATACGCGTCTGATTTGATTTGACCACCCAGATAGTGGTTCGCGTGTAAGGAGTTTAATTAAAAGCTAGGCTACATGTTATTCAACAGTGGTGGCCTGCAGACGCCCGGAGGAGGCCTGCCAATTTTCTAGGTGAACTAATCATTATAAGCAGAAGAAAAAGCCCTTACGTTGCAGTGACACTCCGAGGATGTCCGGCAGACCCTTCACCGCGCTCTCGCCGGGCAACACAGCCGCACTCTGCATCATTTTCATCCAGTCCGAGACAACGCGCACATGCACTGCTCACGGAGGTCGGAGAATCTCAGACGTGCGTAAAATATTTGTTCTCCCCGGATAGTGTCCTTTTACAGTCCTCGCGCCTGTGGTTATCCTCGTGAAACAGTCGCTCGTGCGTTCTTTCGCCGTGTGTCACACAAACCGCTTGATTCATTCACACTGCAGGGGCGGCACCTGACGTCACTCCCCCGGGGGGCCAATGGGAGGCGTGGACGGGAGCGAGAGGGGCGGGAACTTCAGCGGCTCGCGCTCTCAGGTGAGCGGAAGAAGCGATAAGGAAGTGATGCCGATAAATACAGTGCCGCGACTGAAACCTCAGGATCTGAAGTGTTCGGAACAATTTTGTCAGTCAAGCAAGTAACGTAAATATTAGGCCTACGTGAATATTTAACACCTAGTTTCATTTCAGCGTTGCTTTATACGAATATAGCCTATATATTGGGATGTACTGTAGCCTATTTAGACAGCTTAGTTAGACTGTAAAACTATTAATAACAAAAAACATACGTAAAATGCTAGTGAACCCTGTTAATTGATTGCTTGTACGTTACCTTAACATACACTGTAAAATACAAAATACTACTACTACTACTAATAAAATGTAAATTATTTACTGTAAGAAACTGTAAAAAAAGAAAAGAGTATGAATACAGTTATTAATTATCCCCACATCCTGAGAAAATTTGTAGTCAATATGTAGGCTATACTCACTGCAAGATAACTTATACTGTTAAAATTGTTAAAAAAAAAAATATATATATATATAGGCTAGTGAATTCCATCCGTGCACTATTACATTAGTTGACATTTTATTTAAAAGTAGTTGGTTTCTTTTTAATCTAATATTTTCATTAGCCTACATGTTAGGCTACACTTTGAACGCCTGAAAATAGCTCTCATAATTTCGCCCTGTTGACCGGAACAGTTCGCAGGACAAACACACGACTCGACAGTGCCTGGAATACGGAGCCTTTACGTTGTTTATCAGCAGTCTCGACACAGTCGATCCTGACAAGATCATTTCATTCGAGCTTTTCTCCCTCCGGAGAGAGCGGAGTTCAAGCGAGATGAACTCAATCTTCACTTCCAATTCTCTTCATGGACAGTATAATGCGGCGCGTGAGCTCGCGAGCTCCGACAGTCAGCGCTTCATGAAAACAAGCTTCAGTCTCTTTCTCTTCATCGTCAGTCTGGCTGCTTTTCCACGTAACCTGCATCACGTATGTCTTTAGTGTTTCTTTTCTTATACCCCACTCCTCTCATTCTCATTTTTTCAAATAGCCTACATAAAAGCACATTTTTTTTATATTACAGCATATGTTATGCAAGATCTGTGAGATGCTATAATCAAGAAGATAGCCTACAGTTAAACGGCTGATGCGCGCAAGACAAAACTGTGCATATAGGCTACTGCAATTTGTAGTTTCCTGTAAAGAGAAATACACATTTTATAAATTGTAAATACTATTTATGAAATATTCTTAAAAATGAGTTTAGGCTATTTCAAATGGCACAAGAAAGTCATCATTTCATAATTCTATTCAGTTCTATCAGAATGCATTACGTAGTTACCTTCTAACAAACCATTCTATCCAACACACAACACTTAACTGATTTTATATCTCTCTCAGTCTGCTGGTCAGTCTTGTTGAAACCGGTTAATGCCAAATTTCAGAACACCAATTAATAATAAATGAAAAGCAATAACAATTCTTCCACTTGAGACTGGAGGCACACAAAGTAACATCCAATACAGATAAAATCGTCTCGTTTATACACAGCGTATTTCAATCCCTGATTATCTTGCTTGCCTGATGTAAAAAAAAAAAAAAAAAAAAGTGTATAAAATTATAAATCATGGACAGCTATGTTACAGGGATATGTAAATAAAAGTCCGATTATCTCAAGTTTTAAACAACGCAACCCGGTCCACAGTCTTGCTTAATGGCTCCAGTGTAATTTAGTTAAATGAAAGTGATCATCAAGCTGATTAAATGGTGGCAAACACAGCAGCCCTCAAGCTTCACCAGAATCCCTCTGCATGGGCCAACAGTGGACACGGGAATTATCCTGGGCCACGCTTTTGATTTTCATTTTGATTATGGCGAGGAGTTTTTATGCAGATTATTCAATTACGCTGATGGTCAAGTGGAAATGTGAATTTAGTCTTGCTTAAACAGAACAGAGGAGCAAATGCTCTTAATGCTCAATGTTTTGCCACACGATTAAATACATTAATCCACGTACAGTGGACGCGTTTTCACGAGCGCGCAGCTCTTTTGCGTCTCAAAGTCAGTTTAAGGCACTATAAAATGCACTAAAGGGCACCTGTCCGAGCAATGAGAGACCTGTGCACTATAATTCAGCGATAGGGTGCGACTCCCGCTGACCCGAGCACCTTTAATTACTGCCAGTATTTCACATTATCCGCATTCTGACACCACGAGCTGCTGCTCCATCATATCAGTAAAATACAGGTCTCTGAACGCGATCATTAAGAGATCAGATTTCAACCCCTTCACCTCCTCCTGTGAGGCCATTGAGCTTATACTTGGACAAATTCATGTGAACATTACAACTACACTGAAAGTAAAATTAGGATCGTGTCATTATAATCAAATAAAGCATCCCTTAAGAGACTGCACGAAACACAATCCGTTTAAATAATTATAAATGGGTGAAATTACTATCATACATGAACTATTCCCTCCGGTGAGAGTAGAAGTTGAAGAATGCAGAAAAATATGTAGCTATTTACCTATAAAGCTGTATTTTATTATGCCTATAGTTTAGCCTATAACGTGATTTATAATGCTAAATAGAAAGTTCGTTTGATAAATAGAATCCACTCAAATATCTCTAAATCCATATGCTAAAAAAAGAAAAAAAGAGGAAAAGAAGAGAAAGAAAGAAAGAAAAAGAATGTCTAATCAGATGGGGAGAGTTTCCAATTGTACTTGAGCCACAAATATTGCACAAAATGGGATAGTGTATAATGTTTCTATTTGTTGTTTTGACCTGAAATCTTACAATTAAATTATTACTAGAAACAGAGATGACGGGGGATGACATAATTATGCACAACATTTAAAACGTCCATGTTTACAGCCCACCTCCGGAGTGAGGCAGATTCTGACAAACGCTCTCTTTGTTCTTGTCTGTAATTTACACCATTCAAGCAGAAGCGTCCAATTCCTACAATTTAGTTTGTTGCACACAAATACGAGAATTTTGTTCTTATGCTGACAAACACACAGTTATAAACGCACAGTTACAAACAAATAATTCTCACTCTCCCATGCTGACTAATAGCCTTCCTGTCAAATGCCGTTTGTTCAAAATAAAACATTTCAGACAGTTTCATGCGCAGAAACATCTTCAACAAATACGACTCGAATACGACACGAAAATAAACCATGTTTGCACGCTAAAAGAAGCACGTCACGTCTCAGAGAGCGTCATGCAAACCTACCGACCGTCGCGTAATGTACATGCCGTACATTACGCTCACTACGCAAGCTGGACAGCGCTCGAGCGCACAGGAGGAAGTCGATATAGAATTTTCGTTCCACAAATACAAAGAAAGACTACAGAAACGTTACCTGTCTACATCAGTCTGGTGGTTTCTAGTCCTCGAAAAGAGTAAATAAAGGCTGGGACGTCAATGTCAGAAGCCGTTCCCCCCATTTTCCCTGCAAAGGAAAGACAGAAAGAGACCTCAAGAGAGGGCAACAGAGAAAATGAAATTGCACTTGGGGGCAAATTCTATTAGGGAATAGTTATTGTCTCTTGACAGGTCCTGTCCATTTACGTAATTAGTTGAAGTACGAGGTTCGGCATTGTTTAATCAGAATCAGAATTCAGGTTTATTGGCTTAGTAAGTTACACTTAGGAGGCATTGGTGGGAAGCTTCAAAAATTACAGTTAACATGCTATATCAGTCAGATATACAAGAAATTGTATACTGACAATATATATCCAATATATACATCTAGTAGTCAGTATGCAATATAGAATGCACAATACAATATAGGCATACAATACAATAAAATACATGTTTAACGGTGTACTGGATGATTGTGAATCAAATAGTAAATCTGAAGCATGCAAAACTTAAAAAGTAAGCAATGATCCTCCAAAACAATGCAACATAGTGATGGCTGGCCATTGTAGACCAGGTCAGAGATAATACATTATAATTGTCTAATACATTATAATTGGCTAAGGGGTAGATCCTGCTTAGGTTAGAAATTCAATTAAAGGCGACGGTGTTTCACCTTAAGCTTACCATTAAACAATGAAGGATCCCCTGTGATGTTTTTACTTGCTTCAGCAATCGATACCTTTATTTATGTGTATTTAAGTGGGCTCCCATGAAGTGTAGTGATTCTGATATGCATGATTTTTATTGTGTTATTCAATTGAATAAAATACCCTAAAGTGCACATCTAATAGTATAATTAGATATGCACTGAATAATACTAATGTACAGCATGCACTTCTATCTAGGTCTAATTGTTTGTTTGTTTTCTGATAACATGAATGCACATTGTAATTGGTACTTATATAGAGCCTGATATTTGTTACATTACACTATAATGTTGAATGAATATAGTTCACCTAAAAATTAATATTTGCTGAAAAATGTCTCACCCTCAGGCCATCCAAGATGTAGATGAGTTTGTTTCTTCATAGAAAAAGATTTGGAGAAATGTAGCATTACATCACCTGCGCCAGTGGATCCTCTGCAGTGAATGGGTGCCGTCAGAATGTGCTTCGTGAAAGATGTTTTTAGCTTCAAACCTTTGCTTCTGGCTTAAATATGAGTCCTCTATCCATAATATTGCTTCCTCCAGAAAAAGCTGTCTTGTCTGATTCAGGAGAGAAATATGCACAGATCAAGCACTGTTTATTAGCAGTAACAATCCAAAATCGTTTTAACCAAATATGTTGGTAGATTTTTGATACGAGAGGACAACAGGCGATGGATTTTTAGAGGAAGCATTATTATGGATTATGGACTGTTATTTTGGCCAGGAGTGATGGTTTAAAGTTTAAAAACACCTAAAAGATTTTTTTCTCTCAAATGCAGCTTTTCACTTCACAAAGATGTTAATTGATGGACTGGAATCATATGGTTTATTTCATATGGATTATTATAATGCTTTTTTTTAAACTTTCATTCTGACTGCACCATTTCACTGCAGAGGATCCATTGGTGAGCAAGTGATGTAATGGTAAATTTATCCACATCTGTTCTGATGAAGAAACACACTCATCTTCATCTTAAATGGTCTGTGGGTGAGTATACATTTTCAGCAGATTTTCATTTTTGGTAGAAACTATTCCTTTAATTATTACCAGTGAGTTTATCCAGACCAAATAATTAACCTGCTTCTTATTTACAAAATCTTAAACTGAGGTGACTTAAGACAGATTGGGGTAAAAGAGAAGGGCATTTAGCTAGTAATATGTCATTGGTTGAACAACACTGATGAACATCTTTGAAACATCTTCATGGAGATTACATTTCCGGTGTTTGCTGACAAGACTGTTCATTCTGCTTCATTAACGCATGTTGATGGACATGCTCTGGAAGCCATCCAAACTCATCTTATTGACATCTTATTGAGAAGAATGTAAGCTTTCAGGATAGAGGTTAGACTTACGCTGATCTCAGACAACTTTTTCACTTTATTCTGCAGTCTGTATATGAAGACCACACTCTAAAAAATGCTGGGTTGTTTCAACCCAACTTTGGGTCAAATATGGACTAACCCAGCTGTTGGGTTACTGATCTCAAGTCAGCAGATCCACAGCCACTGCCAAGAAGCTGTGCATATATCTATTTGCTTTCATATGGCATTGGATCAATAGACGATAATGTAATATACCTGAATAGGGTGTATCTTTAATGTTTCAGCATCACTGTGCTCCTGTGTGCAAAGTACACTCTAAAAAAATGCTGGGTTAGATACAACCCAGTGCTGGGTAAAATATGGACAAACCCAGTGATTGGGTTGTTTTCAACCAACAGTTGGGTTAAATGTTTAACCCAGTCGCTGGGTCAAAACAACCCAATCGCTGGGTTTGCCCATATTTTACCCAGCGCTTGGTTGTGTTTAACCCAGCATTTTTTTAGAGTGTAAGATTTATAAAGAAATGATTTACCGAGCGAAACTTGACTGACCTTCACAAAATCCAAACCTGAATTCCTCGGGGATGAATTGGAACAATGAATGTAATCTAACATCACTTCCTCACCTTACTGATGTTATAGTGTCTGAATGGGACCGAATACCTGCATTCATGTTCCAAAGCATTCACAGGAGAACAGAATCTGTAACAGTAGTACAGACAAGACCGACTTACTATTAATACACAAAGTTTTGATGAAAGAGGACCACAAATCTTTGGTTATGTAGTATTGACTTGTTCTTGCTGGTTCCAAAAACACTACCAAAACAAAAGGAGATACTAAGAACCTTTAAAAAAATAATTTAACCTGTCTAAAGGCCTAGACAATATAATGTAATCTGTTTATGTTTTTTTCCTTCTTATTTAACCTTTCAACCAGATTTGGGGGGCTTATATAAAAAATCTCATTACATGGATTCAATATGATGACGATGACGAAATTCAGATTTGTGCACGTAGTTTGTAATTCATACATGTATATATATATATATATATATATATATATATATATAATATTTTTGTAAAATTTAATACAAATAATATTAAGATACAATATAAACATTATAAATATATAATAAAATATATAAAATTCTAATTCTGAATAATACAATTATTATTAACATTATTTATAATATAATATAATACGCCTTCCCTCAAGTGCAACTGGTAACTATAGTAAGGGCTTGATTAGCAGGTTGTGCCCTCTCTCGCCTGTCAGCAGTCCATCCGTCCATTCTGACTGACAGCATTAAAGCTGGGAATGAGTGCTGCATCTCAAAATATGTATTATGTACAAGGGGAGGAATGCCGGTAGTAAAATGAGATTAATCTGACCTGTTTGGCTCCTGCTTTAGGGCTAAATGTAGCATTCAGGGGTCAGAGTATAAATGAGCTACAATAACAGAACCATATATTAACCCTTTTCCTCTCTTCACAGAATTAGTTCACTCTCACTGTGCATACACACTCACACACCCTGTGTACATCTATGGCAGAAGCTTTATTATTATTAAAATCAGAGTGGTATGAGACAGCAGAGGTATCAAACCTGTCCAGCATTTTAATACCAGTATGCGATAGGCCATAAACACGCAAAGTACATGTTGGAGGGCCTCAGCAATAAAACCCAGCATTGTCTAATTTATGGAACACAACACTAGCAACACAAGGTGATGTTTTACCCTTGCTTTCTGCCGCTTTTGGTTGGGGGCTGGGAATGTTGCTTTTGTTCCATTGTTCTCATGGCACACAAACAGGTCCCTCACTCAGGTCTGGCAGGGAATAGGAAGTGTATTATGTGTTATAAAGTCTGATTTGTACATAGAAACACTAGCAAGGATGGACAGAGAATCCATGACTTTATTGTGTACTACTCACCAGTGTATGCGCAAAGTTGCTGGGATGTACAAAGCTCTGCCAATTCAAAACAGTTAGATATAATATACAGGGCAATCTACATAAAATAATAATAAATTAAATAAAACTTAAACTCCAATAACCTGAAAAGTAATAGCACAGCTCACTTAAATAGGTCTTAAAGAGACAGTTTACACCCCAAAAAAATAACATGTTTTGAACATTTGTTGTCTTTACAATTAAAAAGTCAAATGGAATCCAGTGTTCTTCAAAATATCTTATGTTCCACAGATAAAAGCAAGTCATACAGGTTTGGAATGACACGAGGGTGAGTAAATGATGATTTTTGGGTGAACTGTCCCTTTAAATGCAGCTAGTAAGTTTTTTGATCATCTGATCTATACTCATCCTCTTTGTCCTCTGCTAGAAGCCTTGAACTTCAGAGCTTTCCTTTTCAACAGTTTTCAAAACGCTGTCAACACAAAGGTTTATACAGTACATCTAGTAAAGGAAAAAAAGTGGGACAAGCAGATAGAGATGTGGGACAAAAGTACAGAGCTCAGATTTCCACGAAAACCCTAAAGCTCAAGATCAAGCGATGGTGTCCTTCAGATGAGCCTGTAATCTGGAACACTTCAAACCCTTGTCTTCCAGTGCTCCTCTTCAGATCCTCTCTCCCTGGGGTCACCACCCCCTCCCGGGCAGAGCCAACTTCCAAGTGTGTGAGGGAAGAGGCCTTGAAAGCCGATTGCGTTTTAATAAAGTTTATTATCGGTGGGGGCTAATCCCCGTGGTAATCTCCCGCAGACCCAAAGGAAAGCAGGATTACTCACTTGCTATAATCCCAATGAAATTGTTAGGATTTAGCTAGCAAAACAGACCAGATGGCAACAGGCATGTTCTTCCCCCCGTGGGCCCGCTCACCCCTTTCCAGACCACTCCTCACCCCAGACACCCTTAATCACAACACATGAGCTATTCATTAAGACAAACATACACGACACTGATAGGGTGAGCGATGCTCAGGCTTCAGAAATGATACAATGGAGAAAGATGTTATAGTCAAGGTATATCACGAATGGAACATAGTCAAGTTTACAGTGTTTTACAGGTTTGATTGAGAAATTAGTAAAATCTTCGGGAATGGTCTAAAACTAAAACAATAGGCATCATACACTTACTGACTTTGTAAATGGCCACAGAGAAAATTGTGAATCATGACATGATGAATCCAAATGTTTTCTAAAATTGACCCAAAATATTAAACATGTTTGAAATCCTCCAAATTGAAGGAATTATAATAAGAAGCTATCATACACTACGTGATTTTCTGAGTGCCAAAAATATAGGCAGACAGGCCCTGAATTTTTGCAACTAGCATCAATTTCAGACTGCAAATTGGGCCAAAAATTTGCTATAAAAAAAAGGTAGTGCAGTTTATTCAGTCAGGTTAGTTTGGGCTGCACACCAACTACAGGTTACAAGACACTGGAAATGTAAAAAGTTGTAAAAAACAAAACAAAACACAAAAGACATATCTCAAAACATGGCAGAAGTTTTAAAGAGTTTTAAAAAAACAATACAAGAAAGATGTTTTTAGAAAAAATAATTTTAATCAGATTTTACCCAGCAAAGCATTCAATTTCAGTACGAATATTTAGTTCTTGCTTATCTAATGGGCAAAAACCATAATGTCTGTGATTCTTATTGTTTCAGGTACTTGTATAGAGTTGCTCTGTGGTACAAATTCACATCTTAAAATATTTTTGTGACAAAATCAAATATTTGATCAGAAAGGCACAGTGAATGGACAGGCAGTAAAATCACAGTGAAATTAAAAGAATTAAACACACAGATATTTTCATTATGATAACCATGGTAAGAGTTAATTGGGTTCCAAATTCCAAAAAATATGCATTTAATTATTTTACTTAAAAAAAGGTCATGTTAAAGATGCTATGTTATTGTGATAAAGTATTTCTTATATCTTCATTTTGTTTTACGGAAATTATACAAAATGGTTGGTGCTTTTATGAATGCAATAAAATGTTTTAGAATTATGTTTTTGTACGATAAACAAATAAAAGACATAAATTACGATTATAATTTTTCCATCACTAGATGCTTAAAAAAACCTCACAGGAGTTAAAAAAAAAAAAAAAAAACAGACCACAAGCAGACAAGTGTAGGGTCTGTAAAACAAAATTAATTACCATCAAATTAAAAACAGTTCTTTGTAAACTCTCGATTTCTGTGCGTCAATACTTTGGTGCTGAAGCTGACGGTTTCTCTAGTAGCCACAGATTGTAAGAGTTGGTCATTCCTGCTAAAAAGTAAAAGTTTGCACTGGAGCGATGCTCTAGGGAAGAGACACTTTAGCACGTCGCAGCTTTTTCCTCAGTTTGAAATACAGGTACATGGCGAGCAGACACATGGTGGAGAGGAGATACAGCAGGACACACAGGCTCACATCCAGCCTGGAGAATCCCACGCTGAGCAGGGACGTCCAGCGCTTGCTTTGGGGTCTGGGGTACGGCTCTATCCCGACCCCAGCACCGAGGTTCTCTTCCAGGCTTCCCAGATCTCGCTTCACCCTCCAGCCTCCCTCAAACTGGAGGTCTTCCACATCCTCCTCCTTCTTCAGACTCCTCCGTCGCACTACGCCAGACATGGCTGCAGCTCGGAGGGCTTTGGCTTTATAGTGTTGGTTGACAAATAAATCCAGGTCTACTATGTCTTCCTGGGGCTCCCGTAATTTCATTCCCACAATTTTTGGTTTTTGTTGGGACTGTGGCCGCTGTGGCTTCTCCCAAGGCGCCTGGTTATCAGCCTTGTCTGCTTCAGCCACCCCCATTCTGTCTAACCCCGCAGGGTACGGCTCACCAGCTTGCTCCTCCAGTGCTGGTTCTTCCTCCTCCTCCTCCTCCTCCTGCTGCTGCTCTTCTTCTTCTTGAGGCTCTTCGGCAGGGTGGCTGTCCAGAACCTCTCGAGCTCTCCTTTCTACACCGCGTCCGGCTTCTTTCTCCATCCGAGCTGCCGTGAGTCGGTTTCTCTGATAGATGAGAGCCTGGGTCTCGTCCTGCAGGTAGTCTGTTAGAATGTGACCAGAAGAAAAGTAGTTTCGGAGGAAGGTCAGCACCTCTTCTTGGTTCCAGTTGTGCTCACCGGTCTTCTTTAAACCATGACAGCTAGGACACAACTCCGGAGACGGCCACTGAATCTTAGGGAAATGTGGGTCCTCGCTGAGTTCTCCTGTGTGGGATAAGAAAAATAGGGGGAGTTTCATCATTTCATAAACAGTCAAAAAGAGTGTTATAAACCAGATCAACCATAAATCAAAGGGCGAGTTTTGACAATGAACAACTAAATCACAACTGTCACTGAAGTCATGTTATGTACATAATATTGCTTTTTTCAAGAACATGTTCGAGTCTTATTAAAAATATATGTGTGCGTGTAGAAATTATATTTTGCATGAAGAAAATTAAGCCTATTTTAACAAAAACAAAATCCCATCCTCATTACAGTAAAAAAAAACTATATATATATATATATATATATATATATATATACACACTGTATACATTTATATATAAATAAATGGCTAAGTATTTACTGTATACATCATGGATACAACTCTTAATTTATTCTGGTTTAGATAAAAGACCATTTTGTTTCTACTACAGGACAATTAAAGTAATAATTGAAATAATAAGAATCAAATGAGAATAATTATTGAAAATAACTGGAATAAAAAATCCAAAGTACATTTTCTGCTTGTATTAAAAAAAGGGGAAAATGGGCTTAATTGTTATGAAAATAATTTAACACTGCAAAAGCGTAAAAAGGCTTCATTTATACATAATATAAATAATATTTAGATTAAATGTATTATATATTTACATATAAATGTGACCTGGACATGTTTTCATGAGATTCACCTGCTTAGGCTTAAAACAGGCTTAAACCCATTTAAAAAAGATTAATTATTTAACGTGGTGTTAAGTTAAGTGGGAAAAGCCCAAAGGACACGTTAATCAATTCTGAGTTCACAGCTTAACAAAACCTGGAGAAGAACACTTTTCTCAGAAAAAGTTTTATAAAAGTATCTGAAAACAGTATTTTGTAGATTCAAATCTGTATGACAAAACTCATTCTGCATATCAGAAAATAAATAAGAAAAACTAAGTTAGACTAGTACAAAAAAAAAAGGCTGAGTATCTGTTGAATTTCTGCTGCAATTCCTCTTCCTGTCATTCAAAATTCAGAATTTTGCCTAACCTTGAGGTGCTGTGTGAACCGTGTGTGTGTGCGTGACAGGTCTAAATACATGATCAATAGACCTGTGGGCTCTCCCAGAGGGAGGATCGTGAAGATAATAGATGAGGTTGGGGTGAACAAGACACCCCTCCCCATCCACACACACACACACACACACACCGGCCTCTTCTCTTCACACCCCCTATGAACATGCCACCATCTCCAAATTGAATATGAAAGCCAGCACCTCTGGGCTGCAGCTCTCCCTCTAATGAATTACTATTTTTCCCCCTCAGATGTTTTCCTTTCCTCCCTCCCCCCAAATGCCACCCCAGACGGAGGCATCCACTAATAAATTGCTTGTGGCGGATGTCACGGGGTGGCCGGGACACTACAAGAGGTGGCAGCAGCATTTAGTTTACATCCCTCCCCCCATCTCTTACGTAGATTAATCTGATGTATATATGCATGTGTGGATGTCCTCTGCATACCACACTTTACATAAGAGATACATCAATTTTACTATGTGTCTACGGGAACCCAGGGGTCTTTATGCATGCCTCTGTAACAGCACTCATATCTGGCTGTGATGCAATGCCTATGAAGATCTTACTTTTAATCATGGAGCCCTTCAGCACAAAGGTCACTTTAGCTGTAGCACTGTTAACATTGATACAAAGCTTGCCGGGGCGGTGCATTAATATTCATGCGTGTGAATAGAGAAGGAGCCATCACGCGGGACAGGTTCTGGTAAACAGGAATGAATGTGAGTGCCGATGGGTGGGCAGGGCTTCTGTGTTCAGATGAAGGGAGGATTGGAGGACTGACTAAACGAATGCAAAACAAACACAGTGTTGGGGAGTAACTAGTTACATGTAGCGGAAATGTAACTTGTTACATTTTGCTACAGTTACTGAGAAAAAAAGGTCACACTTTATTTTAAGGTGTCCTTGTTCCATTGTAATTATACATTTAAGCACTGAGTAATATTATAAAAGGACACCTTAAAATAAAGTGTAATTAAGTTACAGTTACTTATGAAAATGGTAATGATTACAAAGGGGGTTACATCTGAATATTTTCACACACATACAGATTTGATTGATTTCTTTCCCAAATTGCACTGACTGCTCTAAAATATGAGACACCAATGTTTCAGGAGTTTAGGACACAGAATAGGACACAATGCTTATTCGATAACTGTTCTATCTTCTATTTGGGTTTATGTATATGCTTTATTTTTTAAGATTGATTGTTTTTTCCTATAGGCATTGTTAGATGCCAGTGTTTCCAGTCATAGCTATACAAAGATTTGATTTTAAAAACAGTATAATAGCTATTAAACTTTAAATCTTATGATTTTAAATTTGTATTTAACCTCAGAATGATCTCAAAGTAAAAAGAGGTTTTAAAGTATGGTGGCTGTGCTTTAAAATTGAGTTATTATAATCTTAATTCAAGTGATGAAGGATTTTGAAAGTCTGACTGTTATCAGTGTTGAGTACTACTGTAAGGTTAACCCTGCCTTCTTTAAATGTTACAAAAAGATTAACAGTTGAAAACATCCATTAGAAATTTAGAAAAGTAATCAAATGCAACTAGTTACATTAATACAGTAATTGAAATAGTTACACTACTTATTACATTTTAAATAGGGTAACTGTAATCTGTAACCAATTACATTTCCAAAGTAACCTTCCCAACACTGAACAAAAATATAGGCTAATCTTCTCCTAGGCATTTTCAAGAGAACCAGTGGACAAGACAGAGGAAGAAAAAGGGAACAATAGTTATGTTTAGAATGCCATACTACCATACAATTTTTTTGTATGAAAAACAAAATGCAATGAATATCAGTATAAAAGCAATATACACTGGATGAAAATTGTTATTTCCAGTGTGACAAATGCACAAAATCAACCGTGATTTTTTAAAAATTGCTATTGGGTATACTTAGCATAGCCATACGTATTAATGAAAACACACATTCACTATTAACAAAGAGTTTTTTCCTTAAACTCCTAATTAATGCATATTGATAGTAAGATAGTAAAGGTATTGTGAAGTGTTAAGGGATCTAGGATACAATCGTGCAGAATAAGGCATCAATATGTGCAATAGAAGTACTAATAAACAGCCAATATTAGTAACATGCATGCTAATAAGCAACTAGTTAACAGTGACTAGTGTTCCCTAATCTAAAGTGTTACAATCTACTTGTGGGTAGGCTTTTTCACTTGAGCCAGTATGCAACCTCCTAAGAACAACCTAGCAACCACACAGCAACACATTAAAAAACACCCTAGCAATCACCAACCATATATTGAAGCCACTCAATAAAAACCTCTCTGAACACATCAACACATGGTAATGCCCTAGCAACTACACAGAACACTGCAGCATTGTGTTATTTGATCATTTGTTCATTAATTTTGGCAGACGGATCAAATACAAAAAATAAAATAAATAAATAATTTAAAAAAAACATTTGTTTCTGAGAAAACTAATTGGCAGCACTTGCTAAATTAAACAAGCAATGTTGCTAGGTCATGTGCTGCATACTATTTCTCATACTATTTAAAAAAAATTATAGTCAGTATACATCACAGTATGCAATAAGCCAGGACAGAAGTGAGTGGGCAAATAAAGAAGCTCGCAAAGGTAAACTTATTTGTCTTCCTTCTGTAGACCTCTCCTCCCTCGACAAGTGGCAGCAGTGCTGGGCTGAGTTTGTTGCCTGGGTCTTTATGCCGGTTAAATTAATTGTGCAGCAGTGATACTAATAGGCCACTATTCATGCCTGGTTAGCTCTGTGTGCGCGAGGTGGGAGGGAACTACTAAAGAGGCTCACAATCAGGAGGAGGAGGGTCCATCTTGGGAACCGAGAGGAATAAAGGGTGTCGGAGGCAAAGGAGGAGGAGGGGAGAGTGCCACCCACCTCACACACAAACACACACACAGAAACACACACTTTTTGTTAGCTACTTGGGACAGAGATTACAAAGCAGAGGGAAGCTTGATGCTGGCGGCGTGGCATGTGCCACCTGCTGTCCCGGCCGTCTGGGGAATAGAGGGCCACGTGCCCCAGGCAGGAGACACTGTTGCTGTATCAATTGTCAAGCGGCTGGAACGACTCTCCTGGGACATGAGAGACAGTGAGACCTAATCAGCAGAAGTGATGGGGGACCAGGGGACACAGAAGAGCCATAGGGGGACACGCATGGGGGACTTTTGTCCAATTATTCATGACTTCGTGGCTGGTAAAAAGGGACAGACGCTAAAGAGGCAGGCGACATCAAAAGGATGACAAACAAATGAATTAAGCAAGTGTGAAGAGAGGCAACTAACTCCCTTTATGGCCCTTATGCATAACAGCTATGCAAGCTGATAAGTTGTCAGAAAGATAACTAAGATTTTTATTTATGAAATGTCAAATATGTTCACTTTTACTAGGGAATTAGAACTAAAAACTGTAAGATTAAAAAACACAATGTTCCTACCTGAATAATAAATGAGCATACTTTCAAAAATAAAATGGGGAGCAACAGAAGGTGTGAGAAATAGAAAAAGGGATGGATGTAACTGGACAGAGAAAGAAATAGAGAGATAGACGGATAGAAGAGAACAGGACAGCTGGTGTCTGCCCAGAGGATCGCCGAATTAAAGGGATTTAAAGGGAAGAAGCTGCACTGGTGCTCTGGAGAGGGGGAAAAAACTCCTAGTAAACTCACTTCTTTGCTCCTACTTAATACTATGAACAGGAGTGACAGGACTGAATAATATCCTTGGATTATTATGGCCCCCAGAAGTATTTGGACACACTCAAAAAAAGCCATACCAAGTGGCATTTATTGTACAGAAATATAGTGCAAACAAACCTTTCAAGAAAACGGTTTACTAGATTTTTAAGTGGTAGGCATACTGTTTAAAATGTAGACAAAAAATATTGTGGCACTTTCTGGTCACATGAACATACGTCCATACTTAATGTGATGAATAACACTTGTGGTTACTCTGTTAGGACGCCTGTGTGAACTTGAAGGGAATTGACTTCACACTTCTACAAAAAGTCACTCTTACATCACCAACTGTTTAAAAGTAATTGCAAAAATTTCTCAGAAAAGTGCTTTTAGTACAGTAAATGTAAAAGTGTGCTTTTCCAATTTTAAGTGGAGAAAAAAAAACACTATGCAAATACTTTTTGGGTCCACTGTATACACGTTAAGTGTTAGTCATATGAGTTTTAACACTTGACATTTATTTACACTGAAAATACTAACCTGCCAGACGGTTGTTGACCCGGTTGTGGTGAGACCAAAGCCAAAGGACAGCGGTGGACAGCGAGGTCACATGATCCATGCTCTCTTGGGCCATACTTTCAAAGTGAGTTGCACATGACCTGCACCCGAAAAAGCTGCTGACATAACTTCTCATCGCCTGCAACACGTCCTGAGGGTCTGAGATCAAGAGAGAGAAAGAGAAGAAAGTAAAGAGGAAATGGTCAAAAAAAGGAAGTTTAAAAAAAAAGAATGAAAGTGCCATTGCAAGAAAAGAAGCACTGCCAACTTCCAGCGTATGAAATGTCAAACTATTAATATATTATAATATCATGCATTAATAATAATAATAATAAATACATTTTATTTGATAATATTATATAATATGTGATATTACAGTAATTTAATCACTTATTGGAGTATAAATAATGAAAAACTTCTAACAAGGCATAATTCTACAATAACGGCTTCATAAAAAAATATACTAAAGTTCATAATACCATAATATTTGACCTTCTGTGTATCTTCACAAGCAAATAGTTAAATATCCAGTAATCGATCCAAAAATTTAGTAACCTATTAATTCAGACACACAACATTCAACTAACTAACCAACCTCTGGGCCCCTGATTAATTTACACTAATTCTTGAGTGAGTATCTATTGTCTCAACACAACACATTCTGAGGACAAGTCACTGCAGTTACCAGGAGAGGTAGACAGGTCAGTTCTGACCCCGAATACTCTTTTAGTGTTGTGGTTAGTACACTTCTTTCTTTCTGTGTTTAGCTGGTGGACATAATCCAGAGCATTGCCAGTGGACAGATGGACACCCCGTCTCTGGCCTTCCATCTGCAGGTTACGTGACCCCCCTCCACCCGCTCAAACAAACACAAACACGCATCCACACACAGATGCCCCCTCCGCTTCTCTTCCGTCCCACTGTAAGCTGCTGGATTAAGTGTGAGTGGAGAAGCTGTGTTCACCGGGTCTTATATTAACCCTTCAGATTCCAATAATCTAAACAAATCCCTCTTTTCTACCTACACACAATTACTTTTCCAGCAGCAAAACAAGGCCTAAGAATAACAGCGACACACTGGTTTCCTGGAACATGACACTCTTGTGTATATTTGCATGGGGCGAAGATGGATTTTTCAACAAAAAGCACTATAAACATGCAAGAGGAATGCACAGACGGCCACACACAGCCCAGTACAGATGCACGTCGGCCTTCTTTACACAACAGACAGGGCTCATCCATCTCAAAAAAGCCTTGAAGGTTGTGACACAGGGCAGCTCTTGAGGTCAACAGCAGGCCAAGATGGGCCACAGAATTCAGTCTGAGCTTCATTAGACCACTTACAGTACACAAGTCTGAAATATGTAAGGTCTATAGAAGATACAAACACACACAAAAAAAATCAAAGAGAAACAAATCAGACTGTGCAACCTTATGTTTCATTGATTTGTTCTTCTCAGCACATTGCATCTCTAAAAGATGATGTTGCTTTTTAAAAGCCGGAAATCATTAAAACGTCATGAAGTCAAAATTGATATTTTTTTACTTTAATACATTCACATTTACATTTATGTATTTGGCATTTGATGCTTTTAAACAAATCATTACATTGCGTTCATGGTATACAATTTAATCAGTTTCCTGGGAATCAAACCAACGTTTTGCTGCGCTCTACTGAGCTACAGGAACACGGTTTCTTACACTAGTGCGTTTTTATTTTAAAATGCATAACTTTTGCTACAGTTACGCCTGCCGTTTACACAACTTCGGCATTTTTGACACTTGAAAATAGAGACTTCCAAAATAAAAAAGCAGACCCCATTTTAGTTTGAAAACTCGAGAGGTTGCGTTTCAGTGAAACGGACAAAAATGGAGAACTTTGAAAATGATGGCGTGGTTGCCCACATTCACTCAGCGTATCCTTGATGACCGTGTAGTGTGGACGGAGTTCGTTTCTGAAACATAGTGAAAACACCAGTGTAGACGAGGATCGTTTTCATTTTAAAATGCCTTTTTTTTTAAACTAAAACGCAGTATACACAGGACCTTATTGTAGACATCAGTGCATATTACGGCAAATATTACGGCAAATTCTTTCATCAAAAGTATTAAACAACCTTCCTTTTTGACCATGTTTACTTCACAGCTGACTGCAAATTGTGGTATAGAACAGACACTTTTCACATTAATATGAATTCCCAATGAATAACATTAAGTCTTGCCGCTTTTTTCTCATTTAATACTCTGTTTCACTCTGATATATATCATATTATAGAAGAAATATGGGTGGCGGATGCCATTTCACTACCGTCAAGAAAAGAAGGGAGCATTTACTAAATAACTAACAGTCTAGTTAAGGTGCTGTGCACACTAATAGTACCTGGGCTGGACATTTCTTTAGCCTGCACCGAGAGCACATGGAAGAGGGTCCAAACAGCGCAGGGATATCCACGGAAATGGGCTTGAGATCCCTGGCAGCCCACCCACTGTACACCCTCAGGCAACACCGCGTCACTCGTCTAAAAGCACACACACATACAAACATGCAGTCTCAATTGACAAACAAATAACATCATGCTCATTGTTTTACCTGCATCTATGGTTATGTGACATGCATTTTTGGTTGTGTAGTGTGGACGGAGTTCGTTTCTGAAACATAGTGAAAACACCAGTGTAGACGAGGATCGTTTTCATTTTAAAATGCCTTTTTTTAAAAAACTAAAACGCAGTATACACAGGACCTTATTGTAGACATCAGTGCATATTACGGCAAATATTACGGCAAATTCTTTCATCAAAAGTATTAAACAACCTTCCTTTTTGACCATGTTTACTTCACAGTCTTTCACAGCTGACTGCAAATTGTGGTATAGAACAGACACTTTTCACATTAATATGAATTCCCAATGAATAACATTAAGTCTTGCCGCTTTTTTCTCATTTAATACTCTGTTTCACTCTGATATATATCATATTATAGAAGAAATATGGGTGGCGGATACCATTTCACTACCACAAGCTTGTAGGTTTGCGTCAAGAAAAGAAGGGAGCATTTACTAAATAACTAACAGTCTAGTTAAGGTGCTGTGCACACTAATAGTACCTGGGCTGGACATTTCTTTAGCCTGCACCGAGAGCACATGGAAGAGGGTCCAAACAGCGCAGGGATATCCACGGAAATGGGCTTGAGATCCCTGGCAGCCCACCCACTGTACACCCTCAGGCAACACCGCGTCACTCGTCTAAAAGCACACACACATACAAACATGCAGTCTCAATTGACTTGCATTTCACTTAAACAACAAGAATCAATTGAAGTCAATCAATTTTCCTTTCAGTCACTCTTCAAATGAAGTGAGGTGGATACTGCAATTGAAACCGGTATGGCTGTTATAAGAAATAAAACCTCTTCAGGGATCATTTTCAATTATATTTCACTTCATGCATAATTAAAAGCCCATATCAAACAGCATTAAACTCTTTGGCCCGTTTTGGAATTAATCCAGATCTCCCATTGGTTAGTCTCCTGTGCAGAGTCACTCAGCAGTTGATTGGTGGGTGTGTCTATAAGAGGCGATGATCTGGATGACACCAGCCCTTTTCCTTATGGGACACCTTCCTACTTCCTCATTGATTCATTGATTGGGTGGCTAAAAGCTAATGATGTCACTAACTGCTTCTGTGTATGTTTGTGTGTGTAGCCATGCAAGCTTCAGTATTATGACAGCATCATAAAATCTTGTTCAATCAAAAATGAAAATTCTGTCATATACTCTCTTTGACTTACTTTCTTCACAAAAGAAGATATTTAAAAAAAATGTCTCAGTGTCTTTTGTCCATATAATGAAAGTCAGTGGAGTCCAATGTGTTTTGGACCCCACTGACTTTCATCGTATGGGCAAAAACAGTTGAAACATTCTTCCAAATAGCTTGTGTTCTGCATTATTCTGCAGGCTAGATATGATGTTGAATGCCATTGCTTGAAATGGTTTAAATAGGTCGAATATATGTTTTAATAAATTTAAATGAGTGAAAGCATCCCAATACACTGACCTCATGACCCAAGTCTAAGTGGAGAAATGCTTACGTCAAGGGTATTGACAAACTCAGGTACCTTTTCAAATAAATGCGGTACTTTGCTATATCAAATGTCTGGTTGTCAAAATTCTCATTCATCATTTCTAATATCATTTATAGTCATAAAAATATATATATATATATATTTAATAAATATATTATTAAAAAAATCAAAAAACATAAGCTCTTTCTGAGATATTCTGCTCAGGTAAGCTTGTCTAACCTGTACAGTGTTGTCCAGGACATCTCTAAAATCACTGTATTTGATCTCCAACCCCTTCTGTAGTTGTAACCAGCTGTCCACCGTGTTCAGTGCACTCTTTACAGATGGACGACCTGGGAAATACTACACAAACAAAACAAGCACATAATCACATACACAGTCAAACACTTGTGTTTGGGACCAGGCTAGGCTAAAACATCTCATTATTTACATAAGTCCTTTTAAACCTAATAAATGTGACAGCTATTTCTGCAGCACCAGTAGCTGTTGTCAAATGGTGAGATCACTAGATTCGCTAATGTGCTACTAGAAGACGCTAAGTGACAGTGAAAATGCACACTGCAATGCTCTGAAGATTTACAGTCAGGGAAAGCAGTGAGAAAATGCCCCTTTAAAGATTAATATATATTTATCACAGTTTCAGGACACATTAGTCATTATAAAATGTTGGTAATAATAATAATAATAATAATACATTACTATTAGTATTGTGATTATTATTATTATTCATTACACTTCAAACTAACAATATAACAACAACAACAACAATAATAATAATTATTATTATTGCTATTATTATTTATTAGGCAATCATTCTTGATTATTATTTCTTGTTCAAATATATTGTGTTCATTGTTTCTTTGGTTTAAAACAGCTTCAAATAATGTATTATTTACTAATAATGTTATGCATCATCATCATTATTATTATTATTATTATTATTTCATGACACATTAACAATTAAAAGTATAAATATTCCATGACCAATTAATCAATTATTATTATTATTATATTAAAATTTGTTTTTTTTAATGAAAAAACAAAAACAAAGAACACAAATAACAACATAGAATGAATTAATGAGTTAAAATATTACGTTTTCATTGTTCTTTAGTACTAAAAAGCAACACGGAATTTGCTATTGGTAAACACGCTTCTTTCTTATACCAGTGCAAATTTAATAGTGTTAAAGAATGTGTTTGTGTGGAAGTTTCTGGAAGCGCAGTGAAGTAATGACCAGCCTGAGCCATGTGGCACGAGGGAATGGACAGATTCAATGGCCCTGGACGGATGCCAGTGCTGACCTTACAATTCTGTGTCTGAGCTGGGTCCACAAAGCCAACGCTAACACTCCGTCACGGCCCCATAAACACAGCCACATTAGTGCAGGCCAAGGCCTGTGTGTGTGTGTGTGTGTGTGTGTGTGTGTGTGTTTGTGGGGAGGCTCCACAGGATCCCAGAGGTGCACCTTTCTTTGATTTGTGCTCTTGCGTCTTTTCAATTTTCCTGTGGCCATCTGTTCAGCATGGTGCGGCCTTCTATACATCACCCTCTAACAGGATCTCTATTAAAACGCAGCTCACTTAAAAAGGCCTTGCGGAGATTTACTTAACCCCAACGCCCCACTCCATTCTGATTTGTTTCCTTAATCTGGGAGATTCAGCCATTGAGAACGCAGCCAAGGCGGAAAGCTAATCAGAGCTGCAGGTGGGAAAAGGAGAAAGTCTCTAGTCTAGTCCTTCTCTGAGTGTGTGTGTGTGTCATTGAATAGATCTGTGTGCTGGTCTGGCCTCTAACTAGTGTGAAAAGCTCATTACCAGGCCTGGGTGTTGAAGAGAGTAATCTGGGATTGCTCATACAAAAGGCATTGTGCAAAACTAGGTGAAAACTCTGTTCTGAATCGCTGCAAATCAAAACAACAAAGGCGATGTGAATAACTCTGTTCTGGCAGCTAGTGAATGAAAGGCTGTGAAATCATTCTGTTATACTGTGAGGTCTCTTTAAGAGTTGCAAGAAAAAGTAAACAGACAAATCATGATAGACTCTATATTTGAGCTGGTTAACACTGTAAAGGAGAACTAAAAGTGTGATTTGAAGAAAGACAAGAATGCTGTGAACTGGCTCACACACTTTGATATACACCGTCCTCAAAGTATTTAGACACTCGGGCAAGACTTATACTACATATACTACCGTTTAAGGGTTTGGAGGTCAGTAAGATATTTTTTTTGAAAGGATGCCTTAATTTGATAAATTTTATGAAAAGTGAGAGTAAATATATTTATGTCACAAAAGATTCTATTTCAAATCAATGCTATTCTTTTAAGCCTTCTATTAATGAAAGAACCCTGCATAAAGGATTCCACAAACATATTAAGCAGTATGTTTTCAACATGGATAATAAGAAATGTTTCTTGAACACCAAATCAGCATATTGAGACTGGAGTGATGATACTGTAAATTCAGCTTTGCCATCGCAGGAATACATTACGTTAAAATACACTAAAATAAAAGTTGTTAACTCATAATATTTCACATTGTTAGTTTTTATTTCAAATAAATATAGTGATCATCAAAAAAAAAATCTTTCCAACCCTAAACTTCTGAATGGTAGTGTAAAATGTATGCATGCGATTGCATTATATATCAAAATATCAAACAAGTCGCATTAACTTCAGAGAAATATCACAAATGCAATTTTTACTTTTTAATCAATGTTTGTTTTAAATGACAAAACAGTAGCAGGTCACAATAAAGTTCAATTAGCTAACACAGTTATCTTGAAATAGTGATGAACAATACTCATACAACATTTATTCATTAGGGTAATGTTAAATTCTACATATATTAATACATAAAGCAAGGTGTATAAATTAAAATTAATGTATTATACTACTGAACACAAATTCACAATCAGGAACAGTGCATTTAAAAATTAACACTGACCTAGATTCATAAATGCTGTCAATACTGTCACTTTGTTAGTTCATGAAACCTAATGCATTAAATAATAATAAAGAATTTAACCTTATTGTACAGTTGTTTTGTTATTGCATTTGGTTGTCAAAATGTGTTGAACTACACCTATGTGAACTTGAGGGGAACTGACTTCACACATCTACGAAAAATTGGACCCAGTTTGTTAACGTTAATAGCAAAAATGGCTCTAAAAAGTCATTTGTTTGCAGATGCCAAGATACTTTGCTATCTAATGCAATTGCGTTGAGACTTTTTAAGTCTTTTTAAGACTTGAGTGTCTTAATACTGTTAGTGTCTGCTGTAGTGTTTATCTTTTCATGAGAAGACAATGTTTTCTGAGACTCTCTGTTATTCAGACAGTTTTTCCAACAGTACACTGTCAATCATGCTGTGTAAGAGTATATATAGCCTCTGCATATTCCATCTACCAAAGCAAGGATATAGATCACTAACCACAAACAGCCCTTTCCAATCACGGTCCTTACTGATTCAGCCCCCCACCCCCCCCTCTCCCTTCTTCCTCCCCTTCGGACCATGACAATCCACTTCACCCTAGCAATATGTCATTTCCAATCCGATTAGTATCAGCATTCGAGAAAACCACAGTCTCTCTCTCTCTCTCTCTCTGCAGAGGTTCAAAAGAGAAGGCATCTGTCGGCCCAGCCCTGAAGAAGACCCCTGTTTAATCTCACCCTCTGGGACACATATACAAGTGGGCCATGTAAAAGCCATCTAAACTGTTTCCCTGTTATCACAGCACTACTAGTTGTCCACCAACATAGGGGTCTCTCAAAGTTGTTAGAATGAAAACAGGAAATGCAGAGTCAGTCATTTAGGACACCGTGGCCTCGGATAAAAGATGGAGTCACAGCTGACTCTGGACCTCAAATTGCCTTCTAAATCCTTGCTTTATTCTCTCCCTCTTGCGTGGCAGGAAGCCTCTTTCAAGAAAGCAGGATAAAGATGGGTAATCCTAAAACCTCTTTGTAATGCTCTCATGTCTCCAAGATCCACTCTTTTAATCCTGAAATACATGTTCTGATTCATACAAATCCAGATTGTGCTGCAAACCCAGATACGTTGAGCAATAGCGTGACCGAGGAAAACATTTTGCATCAAACTCCACCAGTATATTTACTATTTAGTACTGGTCATAACATGAATTCATTACATTTTGTTCATCTATGCTCATAATTTGAGATTTTAGGTAAAAACACACACATATATACACACAAATGTATATATATATATATATATATATATATATATATAAAAGTATTTAGTCAGCCACCAATTGTGCAAGTTCTCCCACTTAAAAAGATGAGAGAGGCCTGTAATTTTCATCATAGATTTATACAGACCAACAATATTATTGTTTTTTTACTGTATTTTTGATTAATTAATTATTATTATTATTATTATTATTTTTTAAATCTTACTGACCCCAAACTTTTGAATGGGACTGTACATACATATAAGTCTATTTTTCCCCTGTGGGCTCCTGGTGCAGGAGAAGGTTCAGGATGATAGGGCAGTTTGTGACATTCACAGGATTATCCCATTACATCAGTCTGCCTGCATTCTAAGCATCTTAATCTAAAGTACCAAACCTGTAAGCAAACTAACTGTGTTTAGCATTCAAGCCACTGTACAGATCTTCAGCTCAGAACACTTGAGTTTGTGTGTGTGTGTGTGTGCTTGTTCCTCCATGCCACCATTAATCTCTCCATGCTTTGCTTTAGTGGGGTTAAACACTTCCTCTTCACAGAGTGTCAATTAATGCAGCCAACGTGTCTGTTTAACAAGGCAGCTCAAAAGAGCAAGCCAAAAACAGCAAGGACACTTTGAAGAGGCCCAGCAAAGGCTGGAATACCAGAGGGAGCCGAGAATATTGACAAAACTAACCACAGTTAATGGGAAGCTTGCCCAGGGCCCCTGCCACTCCTCCAGGCATCTGTGTAGACCTTCCCCAGAGAGCCCTAAATAATCAGAGAGATTGGCAGAGCTACGCTGGACCGATGCAAAGCCAGCGAAAGGTCATTGTCTCAGACCTCATCAAAGAGATCCATGGCATGCATCTGATCTAGTAGAGCATGGCTCAGTAGAGAACATACAGGGAATAGAGAACTGAGTGAATCTGAAAAAATTAGTTTTAAATTAGTAATTTAATATTTTGTAATACAAATAAAAAAAAAACATGAATAATATAATATGATATATATATACATACACACACACATATACAGTATACACACACACACATATATATATATATATTTATAAGATTTTTATATGCATTGCATGTTTTTTTTGAAGATTAGCAATCCCAGCCTAAATCATTTTCAAAAAGTAAAAAATAATATGGTAAAAACAAATGAGTCGAACAAATCCTTTAAAATGAAAAGAAAATGAAAAAGGATGTGACAGAACAGAACATCACAGAAGTGAACAGGAATATCTTGGATGTGTCCTTAAATGTCAGAAATTAATCTAAACAACCTTCGCAGTTTTGTAACCTGCTGCTATGTAAATATTTTCAGCAATATTTCAATTGCTGTACCATGTTTGTCACAAGTACTGATATATTTTCACCCTGAATCACCCATATGACCATATGTTGTACTTTCTAAAACCTGACTGATCTTACAATATCATTCAAGACTACAGACACTGAAAATTTCGATGAGAAAGCTTTAAAAAAACACATCTTGGATTGAAATGTTCAGTGTATCTCCCTCTAGTGGTTTGCTTTGTGAACTGACTAGGCTGATACAGATGCCATGATATAAAATAATTCAAGTGGATATTTAATGTGTGTGTGTGTATTGATGTAACTCACCTTAGCCAGTACATTTATGTACTTTTTGAGTGCAATCAGATCATCTCCACTGATGCTGATATGTCCAGACAGCTCCACACGCAGAGAGTAATGCAGCGCTGATTCCAAATCAGACATATAAACGCGTGTCCTACATGAATGCACACAAAAATGTATGTAGGATTACAACTGTGCACCACTTAAATCATGAGAGAGTCCACATGATTCAGTAAACCATTGTTAAGACTTCAGCTACAATAGATCATTACTGAATAAAACATTATTACATTCTGCAACACTTAAATAAAACGTTGATTAATAAATGTTCAAGTATGGCCATATTTGAATATTCATGAACTACTGATCTGTTAAGTGTAATAAGACTTATTAAAAATACTTGCAAAATTGAAATCCTCTAACATTTCAGTGAATTTATCTTATGTAAATAATTGTTACATTAATTGCATTTACATTTATGCATTTGGTAGACGCTTATATCTAAAGCGACTGACGTTACATTGCATTACAAAGTATCCATTTGATCATTTCATGCATTTCCTGGGAAATGAACCCATGACCTTGGCGTTGCTAGCGCCATGCTTTACTGTTTGAGCTACAAGAATGCACTGAATTTAAATGATGCATCAATATGTAAAATAAATCTAAATGTGAAAATAAAATGACTAAGTATGTCAGTTTGTGTGCACTAACTTGTTAAATGGCCTCCAGTCCTGTAGAGTTGAGTTCTTGATAAGATCAGTGATGGGAATCTGGGGTTTGCCTGTCCGCACTACCCCTGGCAACCTCTGGAGGGCGTATGAGTAAAAGGTACGAGCTTCATTAAGTCTGATGGAGGAGCAGAAAGAGGAGTGAGGGCGCACAACCACTAAACATAACCTCAAGTGTGTATCTTTGTGTCGCGGCTGACACAGAATAGCGTACGCTGCTTGCGTTCAGCAGATATTCTCCAAAATGGCACTGCGGTGATGCGAAGAGACACAGAGGAGACGAAATGTTTAATAAAGTCGTTATGTCGTTCCAAACCTTAAAAGCTTAATTTGTCTTCGGAACACAATTTAAAGGGGTCATATGATGCGATTTCATTTCGTTACAAGCACTTGGTGCATAAAGAAGATCTGTAAATTTGCAAAGACTAAAGTCTCAGATCCAAAGAGATATTCTTTATAAAAGTTAAGATTCAGCCACACCTACCTAAAACGGCCCATTCGAACACGCCCCCACATATCTACCTCACTACGTGGGAAGATTTGCATAATGCCGCCCAAATGTTCACGCAAAGAAAGAAGGCGTAACTTTTATTCTCGCTGTAGTATTGTTGCTGCTGCCGCCATGTCCTGAAGACGCTGTGTGTTTCGTTGTGAAAGCGAAACTACTTTGTTTGGCCTTCCAAAAGAGGACGATATCCTCTTCGTCATGCCTGGAGCTGATCCGTGCTGGTCACTGAGGGAATTAGAGTCGAGTAAGGGTAGAGACAGTCACTCTACATCCAAATATACCTACTTCCCTACAATATAGTATGCAAAAGTAGTATGTCAGTGTTTATAAAACAGTAGATGAAATTTGAACTAGCGCACACAACGTGATAGATGTAGCATGTCCGGATTGCATTCAAATTAGATGCATACTTACAGAACATAATGGGTCAAGAAATACATTCTTTATCAGATGCATTACATACTTTGATAGTGTGTGATTTTGGACATAGCTTTAAAGTTACAGCTGGTAGTAGAGTTATAGACAGGAAGTGAGGGGAAATAATTTGCGACTAGAGAGATCAATATATTAGACAGGCAGATTAATCAACTGTTGTTTGAACATTTTAGATTTGTTGTTTAGTTCATATTTTGAATTTCACAGAAATTCTCATAATGAGGGACAAAACAGGGTACCCTTACTTTTGCTGAATAACTGAAGTATCACTTTGCCTTGGTGTCAATCCAAAAATATACTGACAGCCTTATGGATGGATGAAAAAAGCACTAGTATTTTTCAGTATAAATTTCAGATTTCATATTACTTCATATAACGTGAATTTTAAGTAATTATTTCCAAAATAAATAAAATATTAACAAACAATAAACAAGTCAATGAATGGAGTGGTACAGAAATGACAATGTTGCACTTACAGTATAAATGTTCATTTAATTTTTATACCGTTCAATTTTTCTAAATTTTTTAAAAGTCTCTCATGCTCACTAAGACTTCATTTATTTTATTAAATATATATATATATATATATATATACATTTATAAAATTTTATTTTATATAATATTAATTCATGAGAAATAAATTAGAGATTAATTGAAAATGTTTCCGTTCATATTAAAATCTCAGACTTGTAATTGCAGAATCTCATCTCATCTCATTGTTGAGATCTCTTCTGAAACTCTAGAGGTGAAATTACTAGGGTTCGTTTCTTAGGAGGAAAAGTTTCCATTTAATCTCATTGCTTGCTACGACTGAGAAATTAAAAACATTTGTGGGTTTTCTTTCCTACAGGAAAACAAACGCTGAACTATAATTATAAACGACCACAACAGCAACAATAACTGCATGGTCTCTAAATTGCACACTACCTTCAGAGCGGGATATCCGGTAATGCCGAAATTGGTGCACACTTTTCTGTTGCTTTCATCAGCACAATCAATAGCAGCCAGATCAACAGCAGGCTTCCATTCTACAACAGCAACACAACACAGAATACAGAGTTTACGAAACTGAATCAATGCACAGAATGGGATCGATAGTGTTTTTGCAAATGGATTTCAGTTGCATGTTGCAAAGTTTGTGTTATGACGGTAAGGAGTCCGTGGTTAAAAACATCAAACATCTGTCTGTGCAAATACAATGTCAACACCATGTCAAAGAGCATCTGGCACAATATGACCAAGCAGTGTTTCTGATCAACACTGAAGATACTGTGTTCTCATTCACAACATATGCTCCATTAACCTTTCACAAAGGGGACTTCCAGGTGTCAAAAGAATGTGCTTTTGATGAACAGTGATACTGCCAACCTAGATGAGACAACTTAAAAACCTAGAGCTACACAAGAGGAAAAAAATATATGTGCACTTTAAAGTGGTTGTGTCTCAAAATCTAAATGAACTGCCTGCATGTGTAATTAGCAAAATTAACTCGAAATGCACCGATGATGCCCATAAAAGCTGTCCAGGTAGACAACTCACCATTTCACTAGGCAGTCTCACTCGGTAGACCAAATAATCTGGTAGGTAACTCACTAAATCACTATTTAGGCTTACTAGGTAGCTCAGTTGGCAGACCCGGTCACTAGTTCATTAGGTGGGCTGCCTGGGTTTTGAGACATTGCTTGTTTGTTTATGTCAATACCGTTGTACAAAGTAGGCAGCTCACTACTCATTGTGTAACCTAGTTAGCAGCAGTCTACCAGCTTTTCTCAGTTGGCTATGTGTTTGTAACTATCCGCTGACCACTAATAAAACTCAGCTGTATGTAAATTAGTCTTCACCACTGAGCTTACTTTAACTTTAATGCAGGTAGAAGGTTTCTGAAAACAGTTTGCACACACAGAATTAAATGTTTTGCGTAAGAGTAAGGATAAACCCCCTCACAAAAATCACTAGGGTACCGAAAATCACTTGTAACTAAATGTAAAACTGCAGTAAATATAATAAACAGAAAATCAAGTGTTGTATTATTTACAGACTGAACATGGAGGGAGATAGATATATGTGGTTGTATATGTTTACTTATTTTCAAATGCTAAATATAGTCATATAGCCTACTTTTTTTGCTGAATTAATCACATTAAGTAATCACACGCCTTTGAAATTTCAAACCATATGCTCTAAATTCCCAGACAGATCCATTTTTTTCTTTCCTTTCATCAATATCTTTTTGTTGCCACAAATAACTAAAAAAATAACAAAATTTTGGGGATATATATTTGTTCCAACCTATGAAATACATCTCTGGATTTGATTAGACTTATGTACCAGAGTAGGTTTGGTCATTCCTAGGACAGTATTGACACCTTGATCCATTCGTTCAGAATCACCCTTTGCTCAAATATTGACATATTGCGTATGTGTCCAAAGTTTTTGACTGGGTACATAACACCCAAGGCAAAATGTAAACATTTTACACAAGGCACATGTCACAATTATAGTACACTTTGCTGTGCCATTAGCAGAGGCACAAATATTTATTTATTGTGAGAACTGCTGAATGTGTTGAACTAGTATCTAACAAAATTATACATCAAATGTCTGTTTACCCCCTCCCCCACAACAGAGGTCTGGACTTCCTTGACTGTATCCAACAACTAAAATCATACAATGTCATGATCACTTTCTCCTCTTCTCTCACTTCCTAGTCAAATAAACCTAGAATTGTACATTACGAATATTGTTGGCTCCTTGACGAATTACTTTTGTTTCTCTTTTTTGAAAAAAGTAGCTAAGGCATAAATGCTAATGTTATTTGACATGCAATTCACTGTTAACAAAGTGTAACAACCAAAAACGTAATATTGAATGTCATTCTGCTTCAGTTTTATTAATGAAATGTCTATTTTGTTGTTTAATTTAATGTTGCATGCTAGAAAATTACAATAAAACTGGGGTTTAAACAGCATTTAGACATGCACATCTTCTTTTACTAACCATTTGTTAAAAAGGGCCCTATTTTGTACATTCAGATTATAAAAAGTCATGACAAAAAAAATGTAAAAGATATCACAGCAAATGTTATGACTGAGAAATGACGAGATCTTTATTTACAATTTCCAAAGGATCAATTCAGTTAACAAATATATCTATAATATGTACATGGAAGCAAAAGGAACCACGTCCAATTTCACAGCAATCTTCCACTCTCAGGAGATAGGCATCGACGATATTTACATGGGTAAAACAATTTACAAGTCTTCAAGTGCACCTCTGTCACTCACAGTACATCATTATAAATACACATACACTTACGGGATGTGAAACATTTCTACGACCTACCAATTTAAAAGTAGAAACTGATTATCAAACCACTTGTGCCACACAAATCCTAATTTCCCACCCACAGTTAAAAGTTTAAACGCATTAGCCAAAAAGACTATTAGTAGTAGCCTATTTTCAGAACGAGGTAGAGATCTCTGTTACCTATATAATTAGACATGCTATTGGATGAGCGACTGATGCTTGGTATCAGAGACTCTGTTGATGCATAGATGAAGTTTGACCCACTGACACAGCACAATACTCTAGATCTAACCTCACAATGATGCTGCAGGTCACTATCGGACAGACTGGCTCAGGAAGTACAGCTTTTAGAGAGGTGAGGAAAGGCTGGTTACAGCTAATTATACACACAAGATGATAATCTGTTTCTTATGAGACCAGGCTTGTAATGGCGACTGATTTATAAAAAAAAAAAATGTAAATCACAGTATTCGTGGATAACAGACGAGATGGACGTGCTGAGCCCTTGAGCAGTTCCTCGGAAAGGTACACAATGAGTAAAACACCGCCTTTAAAAGTAAACAAATGTGTCCTTGTGCCAGTGATAACATAACATTACCACTCGTCTTTTTTAAACACAAAAATGTACTTTAAAAAGGTTCTGATGATGGGTACATGCACAAAGGCAAGGCAGAAATGTACATCTTACAGTATTAGAGTAACTTATGTATTTGTCCAGCTATGAAAAAAGAAGTTAAGACAAGATTAAAGCCAAAAGGGACCGTTACAACACTGGTCAAAGGAAGGCTGGGAAAAGTCACTCGTGTGTGAGCAAACGCAACAATGGAGGCACTTAAAATGAATGGGATAAAAGGCAAATGTTAAGGCTAGAAACCAGCATGTCCGTGTTTAGCACAGTTCATATATTTCAATTCAATCTTTTGGCAACCAGTAACTGTAGCAGGTGTTGCCAATACAACATTGTTGTGTATATGGACCAAAACAAAACAATTACCAGAAGTTTTCCTGTTGCTTTCAAAAAGCAGTTAAATATCATTTACATATTTTTGCATTCAACATTATCTTGCATCAAATCCCTTTACACTGTATTGCCATTTCAACATTCAAATTGTACTTATTGTGCTTAGTTCTGCAATTAATCATGTCAATGGTAAAATAATATTTTCCTTAAACACTTTCCAATGTTACTTTCAAATTCAAATGTTACTTTAAAAAAAAAAAATTAATAGAATTAAAAGAAGAAGAAAAAACAAGTGTTTCTTATGATACAATCTAATTGGAAATAAAAACAAATGTTTAAATCCTTAGGTCTGTCCTGATTTGATCTGACCCTTGTGTTTTAATCATGAGACTTGAGAATGGCAGAGCCAGTTTTAGCAGCAATGACGAACAGACACAGTATGGGGAATCTGGACCCAAACAGCTGCTACAATTAACACCGGACCATCAAGAGCCGAGTTCATCAGGCTTCCTAGATGAGAATGTGAACATCTCCATGACAAGTCAGACCTCTGACAAGGTCTAGAATCCTGAATCCACAACTTTCCGTGGCCTGCACAAGCAGACTGAAAGGGAATTCCTCACTGAATGGCCTTTTATGCCAAATCCCCCATTTTGTGTTTAACAGAAGGTACCTAAAGCATTTCTCTGTACAAATGAGAACACAATCACAGAGTTCTTTTGGACTTCTTCTCCTGGATTTGGGTCAGAACGTCAGCTGTGTCTTTTAGCAAGGCATCAAAAATCCCATCAGCAAGCTGCATCTTTACAAAAAGTTCATCCTCATCATAGTTCACCCACTGGGATTCCTCCTCATGCAACTCCTGGACCTAGAAGAGGAAGCGTGATTATAGACTTATGCATTTAAATGTCTAAATAATTCTATAAATCAACACAGTTTTGCAATTTCAGACACCAGCATTCTGAATGTGAAGTTAAATACACTTACCAGAATGTGGTCAACTCTGTCTCGCTTTTTCCGCCCAAATTTGATCATTTTCTGCCAGTCTGTTTTCTGGTTCTGCTCTTTCTTTAGACCACACAACTTTAATACCTCAGTGGTGACAAATTCCTGAATAAAGAATATATATATATATATACACAAATAAACATACGTAAAAAAAATATATATTAAAATATATAATAAAAATAATCATCATAATGAGATGCCACTTTCCTTAAAGCAGCATTGATATCTTGCATACCTGGACTGTTGTGATGTCATTGGGGCATTTCACCCGATGGAAGTAAGTGGAATTAAGGCGATGCGGCTTCATCCATTGTGGCTGATCAACTTTTGGATCTTCTGCATAGATGTCTTGAATGACCTCCCATGATAAATCAAAGACGGCCTGTAAATAAATAGAATGGCAAAGATTTTTACTCATCTTCATGGAAATGCCTACAAAAACCTTGCCAAGGTTAAACAAACACCTCAACGTCAGCATCTCGATACCTACCAGTTTGTAGCTTTGTTGGCATTGAGCCTCCAGGTCATTGGCTTTGGAGTCTCCTTCCAGGAAAATATTAGAGGGTTGAGGTTTGGCTACTCCAGTCAGTCTTGGTCTACCATGACCCAGTTTGCAGCTTTTCCAGATCTCCCGAGTAGCAGCGATGACCAGTTTCTCCACCTCCTGGACAGTGTGAGGAACAATCATGGCAGGCTCCTCTGGTTGCTTCAGCTGCACGGGAAGTTCAGGCCTGGGCGGTGTTTTGACCTGTTCCCCCGCACCCAAACTCAAGGAGCTAGAAATCCCATCTTGCTGCTGTTGATGTTTTTGCTTCTGCTGTTGTTTTCGTGAGCTGAGACCAAAGTCCTCATCGAACCAGTCCTGCTCGTCACCAAGGACATCGAAGAGCTCACGGCTCAGTTCCAGCTCTGCCAGACGTTTAGCTAGCTCTTCCTGTCCACTCGTACCCAGGACAGGGCTCTCCTGTTGAAGAAGCATAGTTAACACTAATCAAGATCACCTCTTGCAACTTCCATCAAGAGAAGATCTGATTTATCTTTACATTCTCTTTTTGAATTTTGCAACACACTGTAGGCCTAAAAAGAGGGTTCCAAGGTAACATCAGCCCCTAGATGTCTGTCAATACAGCTGGAAATGTCAACTTAAGCATTACACATCAGCAATGTTATCAGCTTGTTGGGTAAATCATTCACTTCATTTCAATAAATAACTTTAAAGACTGGGTTATTTTTAACTGGTTTCTCATTTAATCTATTATAGGATCTTTAGATAAATCAAAATGGTCACTTACAGGTCTGTTGCAATGCTCTGGAGATGAAAGTACCTCCTGATCATCATCAAAGAAGGTGCGGAAACTGTCCTTCTTTGTTTTAGATGAAGACCTGCTCTGAGACTTAACGTTGTTGCTTCCAAGTCCATCATCTTCATTGATGAAGTCTCTTTTCAACTGGTTAGCA